AATCTTCCCGGACGCCGGCATCCCCAACAGCGGACACCCCGCATCATCACAACCCACATACGAGACCTCATTCCCCCACCAGTTGATGTCGACCTCGTGATACTCCACGGCAAAGAAGATCACAATCGCCGCGATCGCCACCCCGCACGACATCGCCGACGTGAACACGTACGCGTACTTCTCCCACCACCCGACCCACCGCCGCTTGGCGTAGTAATTCACCGCGAACCCCACCACCAACGCCGGCCAGCCGTAGCTCATGTTGTAGGGCGCCAGGTTGGAGATCCCCGAGAGGACGAGCGGGGTGTAGATGTAGCGCACGGCGGTCGCGGCCGCGCTGCTGCGCGGGATGAACCGCGTCAGCAGGTAGAAGGGGATCGGGAGGAGGGCGCCGATCAGGAACCCGTACAGCAGGGGGTTGTAGATCTGGCCCACCCCGAACAGGCGGCGCGGGCCGATGGCGCCCCAGATCACGGAGGAGGTGTAGAAGTCGCGGGCGCCTGAAGTTACAAGGTATTAGTGGGCGGGTTTAGGGGTGTTGGATGAGTTGTAGGGAAGGGGGGCACATACCGGCGCAGGTAAATTTGCTGGGCTGGTCGAGCGAGCACACGTCCGAGATGTTGGCCAGCGCCCACGCGTTCACGCCCACGGACACAAACGCCCCGACGACGGTGGCCACCACCTGCGCGGAGAAGAGCACACGCGGCGCGATCTTCATGTAGTGGCCCAGCTTCAGGTCGGCCGCGAACTGGATTGACTGCGCACACGCGATGTACCCGAACGCCTTGAACATCAGGTTGGCCACGGGCTTTCCGGGGATGGCGTAGCCCGCCACGAACTCGGCGATCACGTTGTTGGTCACCTCCGTGTTGGTGATGGCGTAGATCATCCCGTAGGGGATCTGCACGAACAGGCACAGCGCGATGGCGAACACCAGGCCCCAGATCGGCATGCCCGTGTCGTAGTGGGCCACGGCGATGCAGCCAAAGACGAAGGAGACAGCCAGGATGGTCAGGTACCACCATTCGGGTACCTCCCTGTACCGCTGCATCAGCCGGTTGTGCACGTCCTCGTGCTCGTCGCGTGCGCTAGTCCACTTCCACAGCGCTCGCACCCCCTTGGTGATCTCCTGTCGGTTGTAGAGCGCGATGTGCACGATGGCGGCGAGGTACGCTGCAAACGAGGCCATGAACATGATGCTGTATCCGGCGGAGAGATACGGGGGGCTGTACTTGCTGTAGGCCTCGACGTCGAACTCGGCCTTGCTGTTCAGCACCTTACTCACGTCGTAAGTATTGCCTGTGTTGTCGAAGACGTCGTTGCTGTTGATGGGGAAGTAGGCTGTGTTCCAGACATTGGTGAAGTAGATCGGCACGATGATGAAGAAGGATGCAATGGCCATTCCGACGACGTTGTTCAGCAGCGAGTAGAAGGGATAGATGATCGGGTCGTAGAGGCCGTAGACGATGTTCCAGTCGAAGGTGGGGAATGGGTTGAGCGCCATGCCGTTGATGGTGCCGGTGATGATGGCCAGTTTGGCGTTTTCGGGCGAGATCCAGTTGATCCAGTTGAAGTAGGATAGGGCCTGGAAGATGTACGCGGGGAACCAATAGTAGACGAACATGGCGACGAAGCAGTACATGAAGAAGCGGTAGCGGCTGATCTTCCACCCGTTCACCTCCTTGTCACGTCCCTCGTCGCCGTGCAAGGCCTTGTTCAATGCGATGGTGGACAGGCACTTGGGGAAGATCATCGATGGCGGATACACCAGGAATCTCCGCGTCAGACCGGCACATCCGTAGCCTATCAGCTGGGTTGACAGAGCCGACAGGATCTGGAATCCGGCCTGATCGTAGAGAGACGTCATGTTGTAGAAGGACTTGGCCTTGAGGACCTGAAAGATATAGGTGATATAAGCTGTACCGTTCGCGCCTCCAAATGACACATTGGACATGACAGTAATCAGCATGTGCTCTTTCTGATTGAAGGGGCCGGGATTGAGGGTAAAGTGCCAGCCGAATAGATTCCACTTTCGCGTGGGTAAGACCTGCGCTAGAAACACGCCGCACGGGTACGAGAGTAGCTGGGCCACTAACGAGTAGATGTTGATGGTGGGATAACGCAGGGTAAAGAACTGATTGACCGCGGTGAAGATGATGGTCGACAGCAGCCCGAGGAACCAGGCCCGGAAGGTGTTGGCCGAGACTTCAGGGTCGTCCGTTGGGTCCACCACGGCGCGGACTTCTGCGTACGGCGAGTCGTTCGCAATCAAGTCGCGGTGCTTGGCGATCTCCGCCACGAGAGTCTGGAGCTGAGAGAGATCAACGTGGTGGGCCTCGGCATCGAGAATCTCCCGTGCCTGGTTGAGGATGTGGGCCGGAAAGTTGACATCGAGCTCATTTTCAGCCACCATGTCCTTCAACTGAACCAGAAGGCCGTCGAGGTCATTTTCATCGATACTAGTCTCGGTCGCTCCAAGTTTCTCCTGGTCTACTTGAAGCCCTTTGAGAGCGCCTCTTTCGTGGTGGCCAGTCATCTTGACGTACAGTAGACTTTAAGGTGTCTTGAAACTTGGAGCGACTTGCTCTCAACAAGAGGTTTGGCTGGGAAATGTGGAATTCCATCTCTTTAATGGTCGCCTGGCTTCGTTCCAGCTGATTTGGTGGCCATGCAGCACACAATCGTAGTGCCTGATAACGCGTCTGCATTAGCATGAAAGCGTTAATCCTCCCCGGGGTTTCTTGGGATGATATGGTGAAAGCTCCGCTGCGATAGGACGATTGTTTTCGGTTGACCAACTTTGCCCCGTCACCACGCAAGCGTCCAATGAGCATATCCTGCCTGCAAGACGAAATATGGCACCTGCATGCGCAATGGGGGCATATGTGGTCGGCTGAGCATGGAATATGTATTGCAGGCGGAATGAGAGGGGCGACTGCACGGTGATTGGGCGTTAGCTGAATGACAACAAGTAGCAGGGTGGGTCAGTTCTCGCGATAAGAGAGGCGTCCCCGCAATCAATCCGCCAATGTAAAGCATTCGTCTTTGTGACCATCAAAGACAAGACTACTGTGGAAGAACCGCATGAGTCTGTCTCTTGAAAGAATTCCCATGAGCCATCCAAGTCCTCGCGGTGGTGCTGAGGGAAATGCATGTTGCAATTGGTGGCGCTCTGCTATCCGAGCGGCTCGGCAGCATTGACTAGGAGTGTGTGGATGGTGAAGGTGGGATTTCGTCCAAGGTGGCAGTCGCCAATTCAATTGAGTACTGCCGTCAGTCAAGCTTTGTGGGGCCATCGAGCTTATCGATCTCCTGGAGTGTAGTTGGTTGGAGGGGGGAAAATTGGCTGTCGGGACGGGAAGATGGAAGAGGAAATGTGGGTGCCTGAGCGATGGCAAATGACCGCCTCAGCAACCAGGCGTCACTTCCCCTCCACCATCGGGCGTCCGACCCCTTCTCCGATTGGTCTGGGGTCTTTGGTCTTTCTTACTGGAACCTGCCACGCACTCTTCGATTATGGATCACAGTGCTGGCCTCCTTATCTTGAACAATTGTGACATTTCTGCTTTTACTGACTTTCTTTTTTTCCTTGAGTCAGCGGCACCAGTCCTGCTGAGGATATGTGCTCGAAAGGTGCAGCATTACAGCCACGATTCTCGATCTCCCTTGTCGGTCATGCATGCGACGAGAATGATCGAAGAGGCATACAATCCCACCCCGAAATGGCGTGATCTATCAGACGAACAAGCTAACAATCTTAGTCCTGCGGGCTTGCCACGAATCAATGTAGAATCAAACTTTACTTACCTGTAACCGAGATACTAACCCGCAACTTAATGACCAAGGAGCAACCGTGGTGGACTAACATTTGGGCACTCTGGACCTCGAGGCATCCTGCCTTACTTTTCTTCAGCTAATCGGACGAGCAACACAGAGGAATTTATTTTCTCCTTCAGATTTTCCAACGGCTTTGGAACCGTACCAGTCTGCGGACCTCTCCTACAAGCCTGACGCTCCAGCCGATCGAGTTGCTCGATCGTCCTCCGCACCAAGGCACCTCGGATGCCTTGACTTTGAAGTGCTGGCTGCACATATAGCTACGCCAAAATCCTCAAGACCGAACTACCCGCCTATATGAGCAGCGGATCGGGATTCCATTGGGCGAGGTACGGATCTTAATACCTCCCAAGTGTTCAGAAGCTTGACTCGCTTCGGGTCTCGAGCACTACTAGTCGCATCCGCCAGGCTTTTTTTATTCCATCTGGCCCGAATCCTGTTGGCAAATGTGGTCGCCTACTCGGCCTCGGTCTTGCCTTCGTGAATTGCCACCAGCCATCTGCGACCGGAGCACCGGGTTCAGTATTATCAACGATCTTGGAGTACCTCCTGTTTGGTTTGCTCAGTGTTTTATTTTTGTGGGAGAGACTGTTGTCCATGCCTTCTTCGAGCCCGAAGTGGAAGCTGGTTTGGCATGTCGAATGGTCACTTACTGCCGTTTCGAACTGCGGAGGCCCCAACAAGAGCAGAAATTTCGGCGGGCTGTCTTGTTGGGGTGCAGTACAGTCTTGATGGTAAAGGTTCTGGGCCTCAGGAGCATATTGTAGGTCAAATCCTCGAAATGTTGGTACTCCATATGTCGATCTCATCATGAGAGCACAAGTCAGCACAAGGCAGCTTAGAGAGAAAAGCGTCAGCGAACGAGAGCACTAGAGTAGAGCAGTCCGAGTCAATAAGCTTGATGAAAACGTATGTGGGCACCTCAGAAGCCATGGATTGAGCTCAGCCTTGTGGCTTGGCAGGTCGATCGGCTTCCACCCCGCGATCCGGGCGCCGAATCCTCGGCTCCGAGCCATCCACCGTGTTTTATCTCCGTGGCGCATCTAACCTTAATCCCAGAAAAGCAACGCAACCACACAAGATAGTCGGGCTATCATCATCAAAGCTACGTCATCCGTGTTAAGCCCGAGTGTCCGTCCGGAGACAGCACAAAGAAGGGGTAAACTCCATGACATGGCCGAATCGCCGACGGCTGCCTGGGTACAAAGAACCGCAAGCACCATGACATAAAAGACTCATACAGCTCAACGGGAAACCTGCACCCTCAGTCTCAAGCCGACACAATCATCTCTAAGCATCTTTTCCCTTACCTACACCTTAACATCCGTCGCATACTCCAACGCAACCCCACACCGCAGCACACAATGTCCAAGCCCCACGCCCCAAAGCCTCTACCCTACGCTCTCGTAAGTCCATCCCGCCAACAATTCCAACCACAAACACTAACCTCAACCTCCGCCCCGGGGAGCAAGGATGGCCGCGAAGTCGACCTCCTCCACTACATCTACGCGCACCCGGACCTCCCCACCCTGCGCAACAACCCGACCGCCATCCTGGCCGCGATCGACGCCTACAGCCACACGCACAACCCGCTCATGAACATCGGCGCCCCCAAGGGCGCCTACATCCGGGACCTGATCGTCGCCCACAAGCCCCGCATCATGATCGAACTCGGCGGGTACGTGGGATACTCCGCGATCCTGTTCGGGGCGACGCTCCGCGCCGCCGGCGGCACCCGGTACCTCAGTCTGGAGCAGAACCCGGAGATGGCGGCGGTCGCGAACCAGCTGATCGATCTGGCGGGTCTGAAGGATGTGGTTCGGGTGATTGTGGGGTCGGCGGCATCGAGCCTCCGAGAGTTGGTGGCGGATGGGGAGGTGCAAGCGGTGGAGTTGGTGTTTCTGGATCATTGGCAGGAGCTGTACCTGCCGGATTTGTGGTTGATGGAGGAGCTGGGTTTGCTGGTGCCGGAGAAGTCGGTGGTGGTCGCGGATAATGTGGTGATGCCGGGGGCACCGCAGTATTTAGAGTGGGTTAGGGCTGGGTGTGCGGAGAAGAGGGGGTTGTTGGAGTCGCGGAAGGGGGAGAAGGGGTGGCAGGCGACGGGGTTGAGACCTAGGCCTGGGCTGGTGTATCAGACTGTTGTGCGGGAGATTGAGACGCAGTTTGGCAGGGTATGTGTTTTTTCTTTCCCTTGCCTTGGGTTCTAGGGGAGCATTGAATGTCATGCTGACTGGATTTAGGATGGTGTTGCGGTCACGACGGTTCTGGGCGAGGAGGATGTTTGAATGGCTGGAATGGCTTGTCTTATCCATGCTTGGGGGTAGGGATGGGCTATGGTAGAGAGGGCTGGAAGATAGAAGACACTCAGCAGACGCTGGGTTTAAGTGAGCATTATACAGAAGCCTGCGATGCTATGCTATATTCGCAATGTCGTTCCCTCGGTTAAAAGAGGCCTGAGTGAAGAGCTTTAAGATCGCTGTAATTTTGTAGGCTACTGTAACCAAAGAATTGGGCTTTTTTTCATCAATAGGCCGGATGGTGTAGTTGGTTATCACGTATCGTTAACACCGATAAGGTCCTGGGATCGAGCCCCAGTCTGGTCATCTTTTTTGCTTTTTGCTGTTTCAAGACCTCAATATCTCTCTTGACATGGGTATGACCATGTCCTTACTACTTTTACTTCGCTGAGCAAAGGATTATCATCTTGGCTCGGTACAGTTCATGGTTTTGTATGGGGAGAGATTCCCGCTGGACTCATTGTCTCGGTCAACTTAGAGCTAGGTCCGCGAACGGCATCGCCAATAACCAAGCTGGAGTCTGCGAGTAGTTCTTACGAGAAATCAACTCGTGAAACATGGACCGGGTCAATTCGGCTCGTTCAAAAATCAATGTCTCTCGGAGGACACGTAGAATCCCAGTTGGTGGGAGACATTAGAGCTGAAGGTCAATGAGTGGCACATTGTCGCTGTCTGAGTAACTTGAGCCAGTCGGAATATGCCTGGGTCTGGATGTCAGATCAGAAGCAAAGTTCACTGTCCTTTTATTGGGATATAGGAATTGGCTGTAGAAGCTGTTTTCTTGACTCGATATCTCAGGCTTAGATCATCCACTCTCATCGACTAGGTGCGTTACCCGATACCAGATTGCGACAGGGCACAACGACCAAGGTGATTGAACGTTACCAAGCTCAAATAAATGAGAGCATGACATGCCGTCCATGGTGCTGAAAGCTCTGGTTGCGTCGGCGTTGTTGGCGAACCATTTCCATTAACTGCCAGCATGTGGGGTATCCCGCAGCCCATTGAAGGGCGCAAAAGGCTCCAGAAGCCCAGCAAAATCAGTGCCCAGGAACCATTTGGCCAAGGGGCAGAGAGTTTTGGCGAATCCCTTGAGTTTCACGATGATTTGTTGTCGATAAATCATGCAAAAGATATCGGTGGATAAAAAAGATGACCAGACTGGGGCTCGATCCCAGGACCTTATCGGTGTTAACGATACGTGATAACCAACTACACCATCCGGCCAACTATGATTATCGTGCTCTTTTTTTGACACCTCGTCCCTACAGTCAGTTTCAAGCAGTACAAGCTAAACTGTCGTGACTTGGTAATCATCGCTCACTCATTATTGCCATCGATCTAACTCACGGAAGTTATCAGGCTTGAGATCTTCGAAAGATTTATGCATAGTACCATCGGGCTTCTTCCAAATATGTATGTGCCGATAAGAATGTGGATTGTCGCCCCGGACGGTTTAACTGTCAAGAGAGGTGTCATGCTGGGTACTTCCTATATACCAAATCATCCGCTTGGATGCTATACGACTGTGCAAATGGGAGGTCTGTGTCGGCTCACTGTGAGCCATATCCGTCGTGGTAATGTTATCGACATGTGTAGCCCTTTTTGGGACAAACCGTACTGTGTATTGCCAAGATTTGCTTAATTCATTTAGTTCTGGCGAAGGCCATTGGCTCCGCGAAGCAAGATGTTTCAGATACCCCTGGACCTGGTTAGGCATGATTGTGCATGTCTTCAATTCTGGGAACTCGCTTGTGGATGTACCTGATGTGTGACAATAGTAGCAATCAGTGTGATAGAACATGAGGTACCTGCTTTTGATCTTCCTTGGATATTGAGAACAATCGTTAAAGACCACCCGACTCGACAAGGGAGAGTGACAGGGCGACTGACACCGTGTAAGACAAAGCAAACTTACCCCGACGCTTTCTTCAGTTGACAATCCTCGAAATTTGAGTGAGATTGGCTGGGCGTGAGGAAGGGTCAAGTTGAAACTGGGCAGAAGGGTGCTAAGTCTTGACAAAGGAGGAATTAATTGAGTTGTAGTTCGTGACCAATAAATAACGGTAGGTGAAACTTGAACTGGTGATGAATTATCCTCACAGACCCAGGAGTACCTATCCATCCCATTGGCATTATACGAGAGAAGATTTGTGAGTATTCACAGTTACCGAAGTCCATTGCGAGACACATACTGTGTCAGAGTGTAATGTGTATTGGAACTCAGCACCGTGGGACGGGAGAGACCCAGAATAAAGCATAGCTTCTGGGTGAGGATGGTTCTAATTACGAGGCAGACGCACGGTGGAATGAAGAATTGTTTGTCCGAGACGGATTTGATGAGGAAACGGTTGCAACGCTCAGGGGATTGGTGAGTAAGTTCTCAGATGTGACTTCCTTATTTACCTCGGTTTATCAGCACAAAAAAAATGTCGTCCTTCTATCCTCTACAAATACCTGGCCATGGTCGTGCACTCATTGAAAGTCACTTGGATCTTGCCATGCATCAGTGCGACTCTGCGTTGGAATGGACTTAAATTTCTTGACTGGGCTTGCTTTTTGACCCTAGCAAACGGTTAGGTTGAGTGGCTCATCATGACTCAAAGCATTCTGCCGTCAGCTTGCCTTAGGGTTCGGCAATGACAGCTTCTGCAGGTCAAGCCGCAAGAAGGTTTCGCAACACATTTCTTAAGCTCGGATTTCATCCCGACTGGCTCGAGCCAGTAGCAAGAAGGAAACTTTGACCCAAATAATCCCATCTTTGTGTTTGTGAGTACATGATGAATTTGAGAGGATTGGACTGGTCGGCAAGTAGAGAGACAAAAAGAAATGACCAGACTGGGGCTCGATCCCAGGACCTTATCGGTGTTAACGATACGTGATAACCAACTACACCATCCGGCCGATTATATAATGCTTTTTCAGTTTTGCATTTACACTCCAGAACATGCGGAGCACTTGTCCCTTCACCAAAAAGAGATCAGGCGTAAGAGTGAGCAGCAGGTCAAAGAACCATGTTCGAACTACTATAGGTAAATTTACCATTCTCCATTCTCGGCATCACTTATGAACTGTCTATAAGGAGGCAATTGAGCCACAGATCATGCAATGTCTCAATTTTTCGGTCTTGTATCATGTTGCCATGCAATTCTCGCATTACCACACTCTGTCCTACACGGATAAGTTACTCGACAGTATGTAGCGACGCGATGGTCAACGTGGAGATATCGATCTATGCTTGACAAGGCGGCATTAATTTGTGTCTGATCAATTTGTGATGCCTGGCTATGGCAAGCCAGTACTTCGTGGTCATTCGGTTTGTTTCATCAGCACCCATCCTTCCATATTAGGCATTTCTTCGGCCTTCTCTGTGGCTTAGATGCGATATCTCCGGCTGTTGTCTTGAAGGATTCATGAGAATGTAATGAAACGATCCCCAGCAGTTATGAACTACTCCTAACTGACCCAGTACTTGGTGGTTCCTCAAACTTGGACCTTACGAAGGAGTTCTGAATGTCGAGGTGACATGTAGAGCTTTAATCTCTCGCTAATGGAGCCTGCAATCAAGCACACTTGTATCAGTCCCACTTCATCTGTCACTTTTCTATCTGCTCCACATGGTATGAGGTCATTATCAATTGATTTCTTCTCTTTCCTTTCGGAGGAGTTCATGAACTATGATGATGGGCGAGGAAGCACGGGGCTCTGTGAACACAACTGATCACGGCCCCTATTGGTCTCCCCTCACACCAGAAACCAGTTGAAGGAATTGGATTCCTTTTTATACCACACTATTCTGCCTTACCTCCCGTTCATCACCACCTCATTGTCCTATTCCACGTGTACCCCCACCCTGTTCTCACTCTTACTTCTCTCTCTTCTATCCACGTTGCTCAACTCCTATCCCGTCACCCTACTACCCCATCCAGGGTTCCAAGGAACCTACATCTCATTGAGAACAAGTCTCTGATCTTCCGACCTACTTCTAATTTTCTTGGAATTTCTATCCACTCATCATCGCAACAGAGGTGCAACACATCCACCTTCAGACACTCCATTGGTCGCCCCATGGAGCAACCAAATACCACAACCCCGAGCTTGGAGATGGCGGCGCCGAGCTCAGCCATGTGCAACTTGGTACCCGAGTTCGACGATCCGAGGAGAGCAGAAATCATCTCACAGATCGGCTCAGGCCTATGCATCGACGAGGTCAATCCAAGCATACGGGCCCTGCTCTGGCTGGCTGATGTTGAAACTCTCCGGGCATTGTCGGAGGAGTGCAAAAAGTCCCCCGGCGTGTTCCGGCTCTTGTTCGTCCAGGGCGCCGACGCATTCAAGGACGCGCTAGAAGTCTGTGAGTGGCAATAGAAGATATACCCAGCCCCAGCTTTCCAACTAACATTCCTTTCACCAGGGAGGGACAGTGTATCCGAGACATGGGATGATGGAGGTGATGGCTTGCGGGATCCGGTGAGTGTTAATTTTTCCGGTAGTGTCGAGCGGGTGATGGGAGTCTGACGACCGGCACAGTGCGAGGAGCGAGACGGGTCCTGTGTGATCACCCGGGAAGATGGTGGAATCCGATGGTCCAGCAACGCCTTTCCGCATCCGCTGGAGGCACCTGGGCAGGCAGAGGAATCGGCCATGCTGTGGGACATTATAGGGATGTTCTGGTCGGGGCCTAGGGTGGCATTTTGGAGACAAGCGGCGATCAGTTGCGGGTGCACCGATGGACTCGAGAACGGGATTCTCATGTGTCAGGATGCGGGTACGGCTTGGGCCAATCTACGCTTTGCTCTAAAGCCGCTCAAGCTGAGCCAGGATTGCAGATCATTGACCGTCCAGATCTACCGGCTCCCTGGTCAGACGTATTCTGCGAAGGTTCCGTTGGTCTCACGCCCGGATATCGACCGAGCCAGCAATAACTGGCTGGAATTCACAGGTCGATGGTCCAAGACGATGATCCGGTCTGGTGATATCGTTTGCTTGCTTACTAAGGACCCGAAGAAGCTTCCACTGCCCTCCTTTCAGCTACTGGAGATGCAGTGGTACTTGCATCGTGCAGCTGCACTCAGTGGACTTGCCAGCCCTCCCAGGCCCTAGTTTCTGGGGTAGACCGGAGAAGAGCGGGGAGTGAATCGGCATGATGAAGAGGGATGGGCAGTCGGGAACTAAGTCTGGTGGTTTGGATAGATAGGGAAGTGGTTGTCTTTGATGTGCGGAGGATGCGATTGGGGCGAACTTCGGGGATTGACTAGAGAGAAACATCTCGTATGTCTCGGGAGGTCAAAATTGTGTACTTGCAGCTATTATGCAACAGAAAATGACAAAAACGATACCGTCCAGGGTATGTGAACAAAAAGCAATGACCAGACTGGGGCTCGATCCCAGGACCTTATCGGTGTTAACGATACGTGATAACCAACTACACCATCCGGCCAAATTATTATTTTGAGTTTCTGTGTATGACATGATGTTCTTTTATATTGCGGTGAAAGGGAAACAAAGCAAAATACTTCTCTTTCTATCTTTTTTTTAACCGATGATCTCACCACTATTTCGTAGGATATATCGACTAGAGGGTAAGTTCAACGCCTTGCGTCTACTTGTACAATGAGAGTCTGGTGTGCAATGTATTGTGTATCAATTGGGCCTGTTTTGGACTGGATAATGCCACAGGTGTTAAAACTCGAGGTTCGTGGCCAGTATATATACAATGACACGTAAAAAACCCGCCAACAATTGTCGAAATTCTTCGACCCCCAGGGCATCGAACCAAGCTGCACCACCAAAACCCCAACCACATAGCAGAAACACCCTTAAAGAATACCGCACAAATTAGGGCCACATGCTGTCACCCCCAAGAAAGTCCCGCGTTGGTCCCCTACCACACCCGTAGGAATGACTTGGAGCACTCCAACTCCCTCCAATACCAGTTCTAGTCAGACCGTAGGCCTTCTTTCTTCAAGTACGCGAGCATTAGCCAGGCCCTAGACAAAAGCCGACCTACCCTCACCCCAAGCAATTACGGCAGAGCTACCCTGTGTTGCTTGATGACTTGCAAGTTAGTATAAAACTCGGAGTGGAGTATGCTTGGTGCATTGCTTGGCCTTGCAAAGCATTAAATTGACACATCTTTCATCAATTGGCCGGATGGTGTAGTTGGTTATCACGTATCGTTAACACCGATAAGGTCCTGGGATCGAGCCCCAGTCTGGTCATTGCTTTTTGCCAACACTTCGAGTGTGTAATGCCCCTTCCGACACTGCAATAAACTGAAATGAGAAGACCATCTGCAAATCCATTATTTTTCCACTGGAGTCTCGCACCACGTGTCATAAACGCTATACGGACGTGTCGAGTAGAATCCAACCCGCAGCGTCAACGCAGACCCAGTTGCTCCGGTCCGTCGGGCAGTCTACCGGTGCCAAGACCCGGCTTTAATTTAGCTGCATGGCGTTCACTAATCGTAGTAATCAAACCTAATTTCAACCAGCAGCTCAACAACTGGGATACCACGAATCGGTCGGTATCCCAGCGAGTACGGTCAAGAGTTGATTATCAACCCGTGATAACTAATCATACTTTCTACACTTTGAAAACCCTGCGAGACAGCATTCCAAGCGGTGATTAGCGCATTCCTCCGAGGATGAGTAAACACGAACCCCCCCGAAAATTGGAACTCGAACTGGCAAGAAAGTATCTACGCTTCTAAATCTCCCTGACCATGTAACACTGTACCAGACCCAAATGTCAATCAATTAGACAAATGGCGGTTGACCAGCAATTGAGGCTGTAGCTTGGCGAACGAAATAGGTCTAGTTTCCGCTGTGTAGATCCAACGGGTCTGCAGAGCTCTGCAGAAACTCCATGCAGCTGCGGCCTCCCTCGGTTCTTTTAGAAAACTCTCGCCGCGAGGATTCGCTGCAGAAAGTGGGTCCTGTCGACACACACGGAAATGCCCCAAAGCAGCCGCCCAGATGAGATCACCAGAAGAGAATCGAAGTCGATTTGTCATCTGGGAATTTCAATGGCCTCATTGACGCCATTTGTAAGCGTTTCCTCCTTTCCCAGGTATGGGAGTAGCTGCAAGCTTTTTTTAAACCTTCACCTGCTATATAAACCATCCAACTCCTGCTGGGGTCCGACAGAACAATTCTCCTAACACCCATCTCCCTTCAATCCACCACAACACAAATCCACCCACCACCACCACCACCGCCGCCGCCATGTCCACCCAGAAAGCCATTGTGGTCACCTCCCCCAAGCAGGCCAGCCTGGTCCGCGACCGAGCCATCCCCACCCTCCGCGACGACTACATCCTGGTCAAGACGGTCAGCGTGGCCCTAAACCCGACCGATTGGAAGCACATCGCCTTCCTGGCGCCCGTGGGCGTGCTGGTCGGCTGCGACTACGCCGGTATCGTCGAGGAAGTCGGTAAGAACGTGCAGGGCAAGTTCCAGAAGGGCGACCGGGTGTGCGGGTTCGTGCACGGGGCCAACGCGGTGGAGCCGGAGGACGGGGCGTTCGCCGAGTACATCGTGGCCAAGGCGGACGTGTCGACCAAGATCCCGGCCAACCTGAGCTTCCAGGAGGCGGCGACGCTGGGCGTGGGCATCACGACCGTCGGCCAGGCGCTGTACCAGAGCCTGAAGCTGGCGCCGCCCACCGCGCCCACCACCACCCGGGAACCCCTCCTCATCTACGGCGGATCCACCGCGACCGGCGCCCTGGCCATCCAGTTCGCCAAGCTCTCCGGCTACCAGGTGCTGACCACCTGCTCGCCGCACAACTTCGACCTGGTGAAGCAGCTGGGCGCCGACGCCGCCTTCGACTACAAGAACCCCGACACCCCCGCCGAGATCCGCCGGTACACCGACAACAAGCTCCGCCTGGTGCTGGACACGATCTCCGTCGAGGCCAGCGCCAAGTTCTGCGACGAGGCCCTCTCCACCGAGGGCGGCGAGTACAGCGCCCTCCTGGCCGTGGGCATCGAGCGCCAGAACGTCAACGACCGCTGGACCCTGGCCTACACCGCCGTCGGCGAGGACTTCACCTTCGGCGAGACCCCCATGCCCGCCAAGCCCCAGGACCGCGAGTTCGCCGCCCGCTTCTGGGAGACCGCCGCCCAGCTGCTGGCCGAGGGCAAGATCAAGGTCCACCGGCCCAAGGTCGGCGCCCGCGGGCTCGAGGGAGTCATGGAGGGGCTGGAGCTGCTGAAGCAGGATAAGGTCAGCGGCGAGAAGCTCGTCTACAACGTTGAGGAGACTCCTTAGATTTAGTTGGATGGGGGGTAATTATGCGATATGAACTATATAGAGTATTTTTAATTTGGGAATTGTATTTCATTGCTTGTTACTATTTGGTGTCCGCGTAGTATGTCTTTTTTTTTTTTTTTTGTAAAGGACAAATAACAACTTATCCCCTTCTCTGAATCAACTGTCTCGTTTTTCGTATGGTGTTCACATAACGTGGATGATAAGAGTATATGACTGGCGAAGCATAGGCAGATACAATCCACCCAGTAAGTGACCGCTTCCCCCCTATTGGTAGAACAAATTACCACGAATGAGCTCATTCACATCCGACTTCTACTCTCCTCTGTCGCTGTCATGCCAGAATTTGGGACCCTCCCGCCACCGCCTTCTCTCTTCTCGCCGGGTGCCAGCCAGCAGTCCCAGGGCCGAGGGTCGCAGGCCGCGGGCCCGCGGCGTTGCATCTGCCTTCCCAATCAAGTCTAGTCTCCGATCTGCCTGGGCCGCTGATGCATGACGGAAATTAAGCCCCAACGGGACTAGCGACTTCCACCCGTCTGGTTCGCGGCTGTTCGCCCCAAGTAAAAGTCCTTGGAGATACAGGGCTTCCATCCATTGTGATTACTCAATTTGATCTTTCTTGAGGCTTCGATGCGCATTAATAATGTGTCCCGAAGGGGTTCAACCCTTGAGGTCGGATTAGAAATCTATTGTCTGTGGGGTTGTGGAATGTCTCACTGAGCTCGATTACTAGGTCCGGGTCAGGGTCAGGAAGGTTGCGGACCCATTGCCTTCAAAGTTGTCTTTGTGTACAATTGTTGATGAATGGATATTCATCCACATGCACGACTCCCCAATGACGAGGAGTACAAGAGTACCTATGTACAGGACAGTACATTGGACTTGAAGGATATGTATGCTACGCGACACCAGCAAACCAAACAACATCCAACATCCCCCCCAAAAATCAAACCTTCCACCTCCAATCCTTCCCCGCCGTCATCTCCAACCGTACGCCCAGAATACAAAAGCTGGCCGGAAACAGCAGCGCCATCACCACGAGCGCCGCGCGCTCGTACACCTCGGGCGCCGCCAGCGCGCGGCTCTGCGGGATCAACAGCCCCGTCAGCGGGGTGCCCAGCAGCGCGCCCAGCCCGCGCACCAGATACAGGGCGCCGTTGACACTGGTGAAGTCCTTCTTGCCGAACAGCTCCATCAGCGAGGCTGGGAACAGCGCGATGTAGGCGCTGGCAAACGCGCCATACAGCACCGTGAAGGCGATGAACAGCGCCTTCCCGGCGGCGGTGGCGCCCGCGACCGTGGCGGGCACCCAGAAGGCGGCGACGGCGACGGCGCTGAGGAAGGTCGTCCCGAAGAGCAGGTTCATGCGCCCGTACCGGTCGGCCGCGTAGCCGAGCGCGACGCGTGCGACGGCGTTGGCGGCGTTGCTGATGGTGATGAAGTTCGCGGCAGTGCCGGCGGAGTAGCCCAGCGCGCGGCCGAAGGCGGCGTAGTAGATGAGCGGGGTCGAGTAGGCGGCGGACTGCAGCATGCAGCCTGCGGCTTTGAGGAGGAATTTGCGGGTGCGGGTGAGGCGCCAGTTGATGGGCGGGGGTTGGAGGAGCGCGCGGGAGCGGGTGCCGCTGCCGGCGCCGCGGCGCTGGAGCAGGGCCTGGCGTTCGGCGAGGATCTGCTGGTTGAAGCTGGGTTCCCATCGCACGGCGGGTGAGACGAGGATGATGGCCAGCGCGCAGACGGCGCCGGACACGCGGAGCGCGTTGCGGAAGCCCATGCGGTTGATCATGGCGGTCAGGATCGACGGCCAGATCATGCCCCCGACTGCGCTGCCGGAGATGACGATCCCCATCGCCAGGCTGCGGCGCTCGTTGAACCACGTCGGCGCGGTCGTGGTCGCCGGGATGTACGACATGGACACGCTGATGCCGACCAGCACGCCCTGCGTGAGCGCGAATTGCCACAGGGTGCGGCTCACGCTCGCCAGGATGTAGGCGACCCCGAAGATGACGCCCGCGACGGCCACCACGGCTTGTGGTCGGTAGAGCTTGATCCACATCATGACGAAGGGCCCGGTCATGGACATCAGCCCGATGGCCAGGGTGCCGATCAGCCCGATCAGCGCGGACGATGCGCCCGTGAAGGGGTTGTCCGGCTCGCTGGCCATTTCCTCGTAGAGCGCTTGGTAGACTCCGGCGGAGAAGATGAGCGCGTTGGTCGTTAGCATGATGGTGAACCCGGCTCCGATGACCAGGAGTTGCTGTCTGCGGGAGCAGTCCTTGTAAGCCCAGCACCCGAAAAAGGGATGGCATACCTCGTGCTATCTCATGCGTTGTCACGAAGGGCGCACACGTACACTCTTAGGTCCTTGTCCCGAGGCAGCTCGGGGGGAGCGTCCCGGAATTCAAGCTCCCTCGAGTCGGTCATCGTCTCGGTCTGTGTCGACATGGTGGAAGGTACAAATGACCTGTCCGGTGTGAAAGAGACAGGGAGATCCCTCAGACTGGCTTCTCTGCGAAGGTGGCGGAGGTTGAAATTAGGAGATGGAGAAAAGACTTCAGCCGCGCGGGTAGGCGAATAAGCGTCGCCCTACCCCGGCTTTGCTTATCCGGCACTAACTCGGAGATTCGGTCCTCCCCCACACCATCCCGGTTGAATCCAGGCAATTGTGTCAGGGTTCAGTTGATGGGTACAATGCAGCCATAAAGAGGCGTCATCTATCTTACCAGGGTGTCCACAGAGCTATTTGTCATGATGAGCTGACTAGTAGGTGTCAGTCAGTCGAGTGAGCGCATCCAGCAGTCACCGGGTATACCTTCTGCCACATCACCACAGATCCGTCCTCGAACACCTCATCGCATCTTTAATGATAGTAATATGAAAGCCAAAAGAACAAGGTTGTACAGTAAGCTGCAAGATCTGGATCATTGAAGCAGCCAACCACGCTCCCTTAGACGACAACCAAAGACAGCAGTCTCGATACGGGATCAACTGGTCGGAACAAATCCGAGCCCCGGCTCGCCATCTCGGCGACAAGTCCGCCCTCAGCTACAGTCAACCCCTGTCATACCGAACTTTGCTATCAAGGATTCCGCGACATGTCAGACCTATTATATGCTCGCACTTTTCGACCCTAACCCGTTTCTACCGCGCTTGATAAAGCGAAGTCCTAGGTATATAAGAAATTAAGGTGGCGGTCACAATTGGTTCTTATAGAGAGAGTTGACGGTACACTACACATCCTCCCCACCTGGAAACAAACCCGCAAGTCAGCATCTAATTAACGCACATTATAGGTTACTTCGGAGTTATCACTAGCACATACGACCACAGGGTGTGGAAAATAGGGCTTCCCGTCCGCTCAGCCGTACTCAAGCCACACGCCGGGAGGTTAGTAGTTGGGTGGGTGACCACCAGCGAATCCCTTCTGTTGTATGTTTTTTTCTTTTTTGGTGTCTCTTCGCCATCTGATCCATGGTATTGCACCTTGACCACATTCTCCACCTGACAGGGCCCTAAATGGTGTGTGAGCCACAGTACCCATATCTTGAGTTATGTGCGTAGTCTCCATGCACCATGGCATTACGGCAAATAAGGCAACAAGGCAACAAACCCGACTGTATGTGTGGCGTCCGTGCTTGAAAATCGTAGTTTATCTCATGTCGATTAAGCTGTAGATGGCTGAGCTGTGCAGTAAACAGACACGTCCGTAAGCAAGATACGGACGAGGCATAGCCTCGGAGAAAATGCGCTGAGGCAGAAAGCCCTTGATACCCGAGGTCACACGAGTCAGATGGCAGAGCCATCCACATCGAAAACCGGAGGTATCACACCACCCCACGCCGCAATGCACACACAGATACATCTCTGACATGCATAAACACAGCTCGACGAGACAGTGGCGACAATTCTACCCGTTAGCTCAGGTGACAGATCGATAGTTCGATAAGCCCGCATCAGGCGCCGGCCCGTGCCAAAAGCAAGCGGGCAAAAATAGCCGATCCGCCGCGGCCAGAACCATGCACTCGCCACGCGATCGGATCGCCCGTCAGGCCCCAGCTCAGAGCTGAAAGAAAGTGGGAACCTTGTTATCTGTGGTTGGCAGGGTTGGGGGACAGCTGAAGAAAATCTGGAGAGGGCCAGACCCCGGTAGCGTGGCGGATGGCCGCCAGCTGAGTATACGAAGACACCAAACGGGGGCAATCCTGCCGACCCGGGTTTTCTCAGGGGTAAATCCCACCATCACTCACCCCCAGGAGTATAAATCTGCTAGAGAGTTCTCGAGCAAGTGTACTAATCTGTCACCAAGTTGTTTAAAAATTTGCATATTTCAACCAGCAGGATGGCTCGGACTACGTCTTCCGCGTACGCTCCCAAGCGGATCATCCTCTGCTTCGACGGAACATGGCAGACGGCCGTGTCCGGGCAGCAGAACTCCCCCTCCAACATCACGCGCCTGTGCCGGGCCATCAAGCCCGTCGCCCACATCGACGGCCAGGACTGGCAGCAGGTGGTCTGGTACGACTCCGGGGTGGGCACCACCTCGCTGGCCGTCAGCAAGATGCTGGAGGGCGCCGTGGGCGACGGGCTGGACGGCAACATCGTCGAGGCCTACAACTTCGTCGCGATGAACTGGAACCGCGGCGACAAGATCCTGTGCTTTGGCTTCTCGCGCGGCGCGTACACGGCCCGCGCGGTCGCCGGACTCATCGCCGACGCCGGCATCTGCGAGCCGCACAAGCTGCACCGCTTCCCGGACCTGTGGAAGCAGTACAAGAACCTGAAGCGGAAGGGGGTCTTCTACAACAGCGACGACTACTTCCAATTCGTGGACGGGAGGGCCTGCGAGCAACACCGGAAGCATCCCGGTGCCGCCACCGGGTTGGCCTGGGAGATGCATCCTAATGAGCGCTGGGCGCAGACGGATTCGCGGGGGGTGGAGGTCGTGGCCGTGTATGACACCGTCCAGGCGCTGGGGATTCCCGAGGTGGCGGGAGTCCAGCTGCCCGCGAACCTGATGTGGTGGAAGGACCCCCCCGGATGGCACAATGTGACCCTCTCGCGGCATATCAAGCATGCATTCCAGGCGCTGGCCCTCGATGAGTACCGCAAGGCCTTTTACCCCGAGGTCTGGTGCTTACCCTCGGATTATCCCGACGCTTCAATCCCGGAAGTCCGAGCGAGACTTGCCAAGGAAGTCGACGAGAAGAAGGCTATCCTGAACAAGGCCGGAGCTTTCAGAAGAGACTTGGTCAAGAAGGCGGAGAAGCACGGCCAGCTGTATCCGACGGACTACGAGACCCTGGATCAGCTGGCCAATAAAATCAACATAGCCAGCAAAGCAGTCTGGGACGCCCGACGCGACCTGGTCATCAGCGACGACAACCTCAATCTGGGCACGCCGCAGCTCACGCAGGTGTGGTTCCCCGGCTACCACATCAACATCGGCGGCGGCTCGAGCGACACGTTGAACAATTACGGCGACATGGAGGAGATGTCGAACATCGTCTTCGCCTGGATGCTGGACCAGATCGCGCCATTTGTGGGCATCCGCGAACAGACCATCAAAGATCATTATACGGACCGGCAGGCGACGATTGCGACCTTGAATGCGGCCCTGGAGAAGCAGAAGGAGATGGCCAAGACCGAGTCCTGGGGGGAGTACCTGGGTCGCGGGGCGAGGTGGCTTGGGTCCGCCGTCATGCACCCCCTCACCCCGGCCCCGTGCACCGAAACGCGCCACTATACCTGGGGACTGGGCGACATGCCCGACAGCTTCTCCAACATGTATATTCCCAATGGAAAGAAGCCGCGCGCACCCAGTGTCAACCTGTACCGCGACGAGAAAAAGAAGACAGGTGTCCTCGGGGCCACCTGCGCCTACATCCACCCGGTCGTGAACTACCGCGTGCAGCACAAGAAGGACTACTTGCCCATGGGCCTGACACAGGAGCAGTACAGCCGCCAATTGGTGGGGCAGGAGTTTGTCTACAGCCTCAAGGGAGAGGAGTTGCCCGAGTGGAGTCTGGGAGGAAAGGGTTCCTATGAATTGTTGGCTCTCCAGCAGCATGAGGATGCAATCGGGTATATGGCCCAGCAGAACCACCCGGGGGCGCAGTTGCTTTGGGCTAAAGTGCAAGCGGAGCGAAAGGCTGAGGCCAATGGTGCTTAGTATACAGGCTACGAATATGTGAAAGAGGAGGGGCAAGGGGAGTACAAAGATTCCGCCTCAGGCTCAAAGTATTTTCCGTGGGTGTGTTGTCGCGGGATGTACTCCCAACCAAACGCTGCGTCGAGAGCCCCGCGACTGTTGTTTTGCGCAGAAGGCATTGGATTTTGATTTTTAGCTGTTGAACCTTTTGAACATTTCTGGGATCGCAGGAGTTGGGGTGGGACTGGTGGATCACGGGATGTATATAGGTTTTGGTCGTATAAGCAATACATATGCTCTGTAACGTTGGCTAGCCCCATGAGCTGAGTAGGACATTTCACAGACCCTCTTGACTCCGTACTGAGGCTATTAAACTTAGTTGATGTTCTTGACATCAATTTCAAAATTATCGGACTGCTGTGAGTTGCTCGCTATCGCCAGTAGGGCAACCGCCACCATGGATCCATTTTGGGGAGGGTCGGAACTCTCCTCCACCTCAATATGGAGCAAATGCAGAGTGTGCAAGTATCAGTCATGGTGCTTTGTGTGAGTGATAACTCTATAGTCGAAAAGCTAGTCAAGACAGATCCATATACTGTTCTGTTTCGATGCGCCCAGCGCTCACAAGAAGATTAGGGCAGCATCGGAAATGTGGAGTCCCACTGGCCCGGGGCCATATCCGAGCGGGCGGAGTGGAGGCGCGGCCAACCAGGGGAACATAAAGAATCCCCCTTGCACAGACATATCCTGGCAGCCTTCCACAACGCTTATAAAGATATTTCTCCAAGAGCCCCCTTTTCGGGAAGCATCCGAGTTAGCACATCCTGACCCTTAACACTCTTCTCTCACAATGGCCCCCAGGGAAAATCACGCCATCTACATTAGCCCAACCAACGACGCTCTTTTCGTGGAATGTCGCTTTTGACGAGGTACTGCATGCTACCCAGGAGCTAGATCTCAAGTCTCAGGAAATGGGATTATAATGCCAACGGTCGGACTGTTGATTCGAAACTGTGGAAGCCACGCAGATTTAAGCTGGAGGAAAACCTCAAGACCTTCCGATTCCGAGGCGATCATAGTGCAGCTTCAACAGAAGTAGATTAATTAGACGAGCGAATTACCTAGAATGAATGCGATCATCGGCGCTAAGAGCTATACGCGGTGGGGACTATAGCCTGCAGCCTCGTCGGAAAGGCTTACCTTATATTACTTTGGGGGTTAGCTTCGTCTGCGGAAATTAGTCCGGAAATGGGATCTCTGGGATCTCTGGCTGATTCCGTCTGGAATATGTAAGAGAACTCTAAATCAGTCCATACGGGGTCTTTTCGCACGTGTTGAAGTGGGGATAAAGGCTACGTAAGCGTCAGCGGTGGATCGTGGAGGATCACCTCATGGACAGGGCCACATTAGCCGGGCCGGTGGCTCAGTATGACATTCACTGTCAAATTGGGGAAATCCCACGCGATGAGGCTCCTGTGGCTCATGTGCCCTTTCGGCCCCTTCTTTACCCCCTCCCCTGTCAATCAAGTGAGGGGTGAGTAAAATGAAAAAGCAAATAAGAACGGCGGTTGGCGCCTGCCCCCTTGCATACTTCACCTTCTTCTCCACTTCCCTTCAGGTCACCGAAGTCTCTGAGAGACTCACTCAACATGTCCATCGTTGACCTTCCTAATGAGATCCTGGACGCTGTGTGGTTCTATCTGGGTCTTCCTGACTGGTGTGCTCTCCGCCTGTCATGTCGGGTGCTATATTCGAAATCGCTGGCGACGTTTGTGAGCCGTCATGTCAAGCGCATCAGTGTCCTCATCACATCTGACGGGCTTCGAGAGCTCGAAGCCATCGCCACCCACGAGATATTTCGAGCGCACGTGCAGGAGCTCTGGCTGGTTCCCGAGGTGTTTCGAGGCCACTACGATGTTGACTACGATACTTTCGTGCAGGCCAAGCTCATGGCTGCGGGGTACTTCGACCAGCCAGCGGTGGCGCACGGCACACACAGTTCCATCACCGAGCTGGTTCGATGGGCGATCGACAACCTGCGAACCGACTACGAATCGTATCAATCCGCGGTAGCAAACCACCTCCAACTCATACAAGCCGACTCCCTCCCACACACGCTCGCGACCTGCATGAAGCAACTCACAAATCTCTCCACCGTCGGCCTAGAAACATACCCTCCCTCCGCAGCAGGACACAAACACCCGCCCTGTCTTGGCCGTATGGCCTTACGCCGCAGACTCAACCACCACCCATTCGCCAACCCACACATCCCTCACAACTGGGAAAGAAGCCCAGACTACCTCTGGAGTGAAGAGAATCGCAGCATCCGGGCGCCCGTCTTCTCCGCCCTGCTGCAAGCCATCCCCACCTCCACCGCGCAGATCCAACAACTGCGCACCTGCAGCCAAGGCGAACACTGCGGGATCCCCCCCGAACAACTCACCTTGACGGACACCCACTACACAACCCTCCAACCCCATCTCCAAGCCCTTCAAACCCTCGATCTATGCCTCCAATACGCAGACCCCCACTCCGACACGACCGAATCCCCGCTCCTGCGCCTCCTCCTCGCCGCCGCCCCGACCCTTACCACCCTCAAAGTCTCCCAATGGAGCACGAAAGACGAGCTGCCCGCCCACCACTTCACCCAGTTATCGCAGCACATCCACTTCACGCGCCTGTCCACCCTCTCCCTCCACTGGATCGAAGTCACGCAGCCCAGTTTCCGGGCCTTCCTCCGGACCGCCGCGCCGACCCTGCAGACCCTCTCGCTCGTGAGCGTCAGCCTCCTCGACCGCATCGACCTCCCCACCCGCTCGAACCCCTTCTACGACGCTGTCAGCGACCTCTGGCGCCAGTTCTGCGACGGCATCCGCGACGACCTCCCCGGGCTGCGATCTCTGGAGATGAAGGACCTGGCATACCGCGGACACGTGCTGCGCATCGAGGATGGAATGCGTGCGCGCAGCGGGAGGAAGCCGTCCCGTCGGGTCAGTGCCGCGGTGGCACTGGCATACGACGCGACGCAGGCGGGGGTGGGGTTGGCGGCGTGGCTCGACCAGCTGCAGCTCCCGGAGCACCGGTCGGCGAGACTGGGGCAGCCCTTGCCCGGTCGGTTCAGTAGTATGGCTGCGTGTTCGGATCTGCTGCGCTTATGGGGATCAGGGACGAAGAAGTGAGCATGCTGCTCGGGGAAGGGGGGGGGGGGGGTCAGTTGCTGCGTGTTTTGGTCGGGTAGCTGTGATAGCAAGAAAAGGGTTAGCGTTTGGGATTGATCTTAGTATGGTCGGATGTCGGAGGTATAGGGAAATATGATGCCGGCTTAAGGGGCGAGGTGGCCGAAGGGAAAGATAGTCACTCAGAACGGCAGATGATGCATGATTGTATGTAGTATACCGGGCAGTAATCTGCAGGCGAAGATAAGCTTGAATTATGCTCTGAGACATTTTCTTGCTTGGCTGCGGGGAAATTCTTCCTAACAATCCAGCCACCCCCTTTTTCCCCGGGGGGGGGGCATGCGATCACGTGCCCGGGATTGCCGACAGGGTCTGTTTGAGTTTGGAGGGGGCTGTCGGATTTGCCGATGACGAACGATCGCTGAAGTAAAGAGTATGTACGGTCTAGCCCAGCCCAGTGTAGTGCTCTACCTGGACGATACACCACCACTGATCATTAGGTGCAAAACTCCGGGTATTTCTTCGGGATAGATACTAGTACCATCCCAAAAAGCAACACTGTTCCCATAATTGCTGCCTCGGAATATAGCTTTCTTCGCGCAAGACATCCAAGATGTCATCGATTGCCCCTCTTGGGGAGGGATGTCTCGTAAAGAGGTAAGCTAGAAACAACCAGACGCCGTACTAAAATTAGAGGTTTTAGAGAATTTCTATAGCGGCTTTTTACGCCACCAATTTTTAGTTGTTTTTATGATTTTATAATATGTTTAAGTAGGTATAAATATTTATAAAACTCTTAAGGTAGTACTTAAATCTTTTTCATTAGCAAATACACTAGCATGGATGTGGAAGGCCCGGATGAGAACGTCGGTGATGGAGAGGGTAAGTGGCGGTATATCCTTTGCCCTCCTCGGTTTCTAGGCTACTCGACACCGCAAAAGATTTGGGGCCAGTTCGAAGCCAGCTCCGTCGAGAGAGTAAGGCCGGTAAAACCCGATACTGCATTCGATCTAGATCTGCAGCTGGACAGAAGATACAAATCCACGATCAAAGCACTCGTGGAGAACCACAGCACGGCAAAGGATTCGAAGGCCGGCGACAAGGACATGGATGTGATTGAAGGGAAGGTTCGTGGTCTCGTTGTTCCCCTTCATGGCCCGCCGGGGGTGGGAAAGACGTTAGCGGCAGAGACGATTGCCGAGGCAACTGGAAGGCCTCTGCTTGTCGCCAGCGTGGTCGAGATTGGTCTCAATACCTCCAAGGCAGAGAACAACCTTGAACGCATGTTTCACCTCGCCGGAGCTTGGGAGGCCATCCTCCTCGTGGATGAGGCAGACGTTTTCCTCGAGTCTCGTATGAGCACTTGCGATCCCAATCGGAACACCCTTGTCCCCGTCTTACTGCGTGTTCCTTGGTAATAGAGGGATTCATGATCTTGACGACGAATCGAATCCCCTCGCTCGATAGTGCAGTGAAGTCGCGCATCCACCTCGCTACCCGTTACGAGGACCTCAGCAAGGAACAGAAGGAGAAGACCTTCATGAGCTGCGAGACAAGCTCGCGGAGAAAAGCAAGGACATCATGTCACCTGCTAACCGAGCAAGTATGAATGACCGGGTCGAAGATATCGGCTCTGATCATAAGCCCAGCGGTCGCCAGAGCCAAAATATGGTCAGCAGCGCCCCCGCCCTCGCGGTCAGCGAGAAAGGGGATGGTAGCCTGCGCAAAGACCACTTCCAATCGGTCTGTTTGATTGCCAAAGAGTGCCAGGAGCAGTTAGAAGGGTTAACATGCGACCTCCGGGGGGCTAATGAAGGAAAACGTTGAGAAGGGACAGATAGAAATATTCCCCTCAACACCCATGAAGGACTTGGTTTCATTGATTTGGTCACCATTTTAAGGCGGACAGAAAGATATTTGAGTTTCTTGAGTAGAGGCCCACGATAAGATAGGATCTTGTTAGCCCGGAGCGTATCCGAAATTCTGACATCCCCCATTCTCCGCACCACCCATGTACTCACTGCCAGCGGGGTTTCTTCGCCGTCACAATAGCATTCGCGGAATGATTGCCTTATCTGGGGCAGGGGATGAATCCTAGCGGCTAAGTTACTCATTCTTTCATCTTAAGTGCTATAGTCACGTGCTGGAAGGGACCCATTTTGCTGACTGAATGCACGAGGAGACAGGAAGAGTCGCACCTAGTCTGGACGGGTAAAGATCTGATTATGGGGGCAAAATCCGAACTACAAGGCGCGAGAATTAATCTCGTGGTCCACAAGCGATCCGCGCACGGTCCCCGGCCCCAATCTTCTGCTGTAGGAGGGGCTTACAGAGCTTGCCAAACACGCACTATTACGGAAGACCATTGCGGCCACTCGGCAAACGAGAAATCTGCCGGCAAAATCCTATATATAAGAATCGAAACTATATATAAACCCCAACAATCCTAATTCAAAAGAATAATTGATAATATTCTCTATTAATAAACCCTAATAACAATACCTTCGGCCTCCAAAAAACCCTAAATACTCTAATATAAAAAGGGGCCAATCTGAATATATAATTAAACAGCTGTTAAGGCGCTTTAAAGAAGCCGGGATATTAATAGCTATCTAAGAATTAGACACTATATCCGGAAGGCAGAGAGGGGGGGAGAGAATACACGGGCTGGTTTGTACTAAAAGTCTTAGTAGGCGGCACCGCTGCGGTAACTTAAGAATACTTAGTAAGAAAAGTTCCATTTGCCGAGTAGCCGCAATGGTCTTCCGTACACTAATTAACCACTACTTAACCTGGCGTTAACGGCAGGTGGAAGAATTAAATAATCCCGACTGTTTTAACATCCCCGATCGCGTATCCAGCAGCCCCAAATCACTTGATCACCAGGGGAAGATGGGCGCCCCCCCTTACACATCTAAAGGTTGTGCAAATTGCAGGAAACGCCGAATCAAGGTACTGTTCTCCTATGGCTCACTTTCAAAGTAGCGCTTTTTGTGCTTATATATCGCTGCAGTGTGACCTTGGAGAGCCAGAATGTGCTAGGTGTAAGAAAAAAGGTATCTTATGCCCTGGCTATGATCCGCACCGAAACTTTCTCTACCATACGATAGTTTCTCGCCAGGAACGTAATGGAGTTGCCTTGTCCTCAAGACCTGTTGCTCAGCTTGTGAGCCATCTAAAACCCCTGGCCCTAGCCCCAGTGTTCAACACGAACGCCGAACTGCGAACCCAGCTGTTCTCGACTTATATGGGGGTCTACTTCGCGCCCAATAACTATCTTAATGGCGATGATGATAGCTGGTACTTTTTGATGAGTCGCTTTCCAAACCTAGCAGGAGAGTCTGAGCTGTTCGACCGGTCCATCATCTCACTGGTCTCGGTCTATCTGGGAGGAAAGACTGGCGATGCCAATCTGGCCCGTCACGGGCTTGAGCTCTATAACAGCGGGCTGAAGATGCTGGCGCAATTTATCCATCGAAATCGCAAGCCATCGCTAGATATTCTCTACGCGACAATTGTATTCAGTGCATATGAGGTGCGCATCCATCAGACTCCATCTATTTGACTCGGAGATGTAAGATTTGACGAGGCAGCTCTAGACTATGCATGGTGGGGGCGATGCCCTACGCAACTGTTTTTTACATGTTCAAGGGGTCTCTGCTGTCTTCAAGCAGCTTGACCTTAGTCACTGCAGGGACAAAGATTTGGTGACTTCGTTGTTAAACCGCCAGAAATGTTGCGTCGTAAGTCTATTGACCCTGACCCGCCCGATTGTGATGTCTTTCGGGACTACGTCGACTCATGGAATGTCTAGACATGTTTTGGCTTCGACCCCAAGTTCCAGCGAGATGTGGATTGGGCTTGTCTGACGCTTGGGCTGAATAAAACTCCAATGGATAAGACTTTTGATCTACTCCGCGAGTGTGGGGCGTTACAGATCGAATTGGCGGCAATCGTCGCGCACCACCAAGCACCAGACCGTGAATCGAAATGTCAAAGGCTGCTGCATCGCTGCTTAGCGCTCGACTCCGGGATCACATTCGACCGGCTTGAGCTTGATGATTACCCCTCCCTTTGCCCAAGGAGCGACTTGGCCTGCCAGCCTACGCTCTTGCCCCCGGATCCAAGCATGAAGCCGTATAGATTCCCAGCCTTGAGTAACGCGAAGATATTCCTGCTCTTCTGGATAGCACGCACGGTACTTCGCCGATGTGTCTACCAAGCTGAAAAGACCCTTAACAAATGTGCGGACGCTACTCGTATGCGCCAATGTGCCGGAGAGATATGCCGCGCGGTAGCATTTTGCATGCAACCCAGCAACCAGATGTCATCGGGGCACGCCGTGATGGTTGCGACTTCTCAAGCCAGCAAATGCTACATTGACTGTGGTGATAGGGATATGTTCTTATGGTGTCAAGGGGTCTATTCTATCCTGCAATCCCATGGCCTGGACATAGCGGGGGCTATGAGTCAGAATGACAGGGGTTTGTGGGCCATGGCGAACGGCGAAATCAACTGAGACTGTATAATGCGACAACAATAACAATTCCAGTGAGCTACCAACGTCAAGACGTGGTCCGGAGGGAATCAAAGCCACCCTCTTCAAGCCCCTCCCCATTCGAAACATGGCTTCTCATTTCCGTGCGCCACAGCCAAGGCCCTAGCCGAAGAGACGATTAGCCGAAAGCTTCCATGCAGACTCAATTAAAGAGCCGTCCACTGACGCGGCCAAAGCCGACCAAGCCCATTAGCGTAGTGGGCACGACAACGGTGGGTTGACAAATTGGATTGTGAACAGGTGGGGGCCAAAAATGCTCGGAACGATTCAAGCAATACATATGTACGCTACCTGTCGTATCTTCCTTTCCCCACTCCTCTTCATGCTGCGTACCCTCACCGTTTCCTCTTTCTCCTCCACCTCTTTTCTTCAACACAATGACCGATTCCAGCCAGTCAGACCCTGCTCAATCTATTCCCTCTGTAAAAGACAGCGATGAGCATCAACAAGGGAGAACAGGACCTGGCGCCTCCCAGGTCCTCAAATCCCCTAGATGGTACGATGGGATAACCTGGTCTCCAGAGGTTCTAGCGGCCTTTGTGTCTCTGAGCTCATTTTCGATTTTGATTGTGATCCTCCACCACTACGATGGTGTCTCGGCTACGACATGGCCATTCGGCGCGTTGACACTCAATAGTCTGGTGGCCGTACTTGCCACAGCGACTCGCGCGGCGCTGTTAGCCCTGTTATCCAGTGCCCTTAGCCAAGGGAAATGGCTTTGGTATACCGGGAAAGACAAAAAGCGCCGGCTTAGAGATATCGATGTCTTTGACCAGGCATCACGAGGCCCCTTGGGAAGTCTCGGGTTTTTGTGGAACCTCCGCGGAATCCATCTGGCCACTTTTGGCGCCATCATGACGATCCTAACTCTGCCATTCGATATATTCTCACAACAGGTCCTTGCCACAAAGACTCGTTCTGTCACGGTGCATCCCACCTCGGCGGCCGGGCTGGCCAACATTCCCCGAGCGGAACTCTTCACTGGGGATACTGAGTCGAAGGTCGATGCAGCACTCATGGGCCCTGGTCTGTCCATGGTTTCAGCCTGGTACGCTGGACTCCTTGCCTTCAATGCCACAGAGATACGGCCCACCTGCCCAACAGGCAATTGTACCTGGCCCATAGTTTCGTCTCTGGCCGTGTGTGGCCGGTGCACAAACGTCACGGCAGATGTCACGTATACCCAGGACTACGACACTGCGAAAAGTATGTGGAGAAACTATACCCTGCCGGATGGCATGCGGCTCGCGAATCATCTCAATTCAGATGAGGATGTCAGTCAAATGGCTCTACTGCAGGCGTCGTGGGCCAACGAAAGCTATCCGAACCTGAAGTATCCGTCGCTGGCGCAGGACCCACAGAATGGATACTTGATGCTGGCCCACTTTGAAACGATCAGTCTGACAGACCCCGGATATGGGGACTGGACGGGCAATCAATCGCTTGCCACGGAGTGTGCGCTCTGGTTTTGTGTGCGAGCGTACAACATTTCAATGACCAACGGCCAGCTCACGCAACGCATCGTCGGCGAATGGAGCCAGGTGAATCCAGGAGCCGCCCGGGAGTACACAGCGCCAGGAAATTCCACCTCGGCTGCAGACGGCTCCGATGTGATGTTGCGCTTCACGCAGCCCCCCGCCGAGTTCAACGTGCCCGAGGGAACGAACTTCGTCGTGGGCGGGAGCGTCGCCAACGTCTTCTCGACCCTGGCGTCCCGCTCATTCCCCATGCAAGTCTGGGGCGTGAATGCCGACCATGCGAAGACGAACCAATCGGCCGCCTTGTGGAACTACATTGGCCGCATGGATGCCTACATTGGAAATTTCGCCGCGATCTTGACGCAGACGCTCCGGACCAGCTCGCCGACATCCCCGTTTACCGATACCTATTACCTTGGGACGGCGTGGAAAGACGAGGTGTATGTCCAGGTGCGCTGGGCCTGGTTGGCGTTTCCGGCGACCATGATCTTGGGCGGGTGTGTGGTGATTCTTGCCACGGTCTGGCGGACGGACAGGAGTGTGGTCGGGGTGTGGAGATCGAACTCGCTGGCCCTGCTCCTTACGCAAGTCTCCACTCGCGTACAAAATGCAGCGACAGGCGCTATGGGTGTAGAGACGGAGGATTTGGATCTTCGGGTTGGCGACGAACGAGTGGCGTTGGCAGAAGTGGATGGCAAATGGCATTTCAACTGACATGTATGATGATGATAATGCAGCAAGGCCGGCACCATTCAGCCCTCCGAGCATAAGCCTCCTTTTGTGGACGGAATGGGCAGGATCATCACCATCAAGCATCAAACCGTGGAAATCCAACACGACAGGTGGGTTGTGCAACCTCGCGCAACTAGCTGCTTATAGCCTAGCTTGTCGACTACTGCACGTCCCTGAGGGAGGCGAAGGCGACTACTTTAGCCTATGGACAAGCTCTTGGCAGAGGGACTGCTGATGACTGCGTAATATTGTTTATTGAACTAGTTGATCTCTTCCCTTCCCTCGCTTGAATTTTGGGTTGGCCCCACCCTTTTCCCTGGCAAGGCGAGCAGCAAGGCTGTCCAGTTTTTTAAGAGCTTGACTCTGCGCAACTGCCCGCGGGTCGAATGCCAGGAGGAAAAGATATGTGCTATTCGTGATCTCTGCGTTGCCTACACCCTTATTTCAACCCGATGCACCAATACCATGGATCCGTCGTCGAGGTCTTCACGAAGCAATCGTTGTTGTGGGCTCGTGTGGATTCCTCCTGACAACTGCGTTAGCCAGCCGGCGACAGCTTGCTATTCTTTGGAAGGACTCGGTGATCGCCTTGGTTATGAGCCACCTTGACACCACTCCCGAGCATGAGATCGCATCGCCAAGGAACATCGGCCAGTTGCTGCACATATCGGAAGAAACACGCGTAGTACTAGAGCGGGATGAAGGGCCTCTTGTATTTTTCGAGAAGCGAAATTGATTTCCTGTTTCTAGTCGTAAAGCCATCACATGGATGAGTTTTGTTGATTTTTTTTTTTTAAAAAAATAAAAAAATAAAAAATCAATTCATAATCTGCTTGTCGGTATTGTAGATGCAGCCAAAAGCCAGTCATCGAGAGTAGGGCAGCATGCAGAGAGACCTGTAACCGGCATGCCTACTGGTATAATTCTCCCTGCCGAGGCATCTCGACGTCGCCATCGGTGAACGTGCAATGACCGATGGGACCATTGACAGGCACAGCGCCCCACTTGACTCGTGCGAGTGACCGGTCTTCCTCCTCTAGCTCTGAGTCCCGGTTTTCTCCGTCGTAGCTGGTTCCACTTTCGTCGTCAATGTTCGGATCAAATGACGGGTGGCATGCCGCCGCAATCGCGAGGCTGCAACTCGATGCAACGGGCATGGCAGACTCGAAACGCCGGCGCCCAAGACAGATCACGCCCAAAACCAACACCAAGCCGACCACGATCGAACCGACCATCCCCGCGGGGGACCAGCCGCAGGTGATGAAATCGTTTGCAGCGGCGCGCAACCCATCGCTTCCAAACGCTTCGACTCCAATCATAAATAAGCTCTGGGAGATGAGCCAATGTAAGAGGGTGGAGGTGATCAGCAAGGGAATCGAATAGCGATACGGGATGGAGAGGAAGTAGTTCGTCCTCTGCTCTCGCTGCGGGTTTTGGGAGACGCGGAGACCCTTTCGCTGCTGGGCATAGCCGCTCCACTCAGCGGCCAGGGTCATCGTCGTAATCAGCGCGTTGAAAGCGAAGTACAGGAATGAGAAAATGAGTTGAGGCATGTTGGCGATCAGCACGTTTGATGTCAAGGAGCTTGGCCAGTTATCGCCGTATATGATGGTTTTTGAAGTGGACGAGCCGAGCGCCTGTTGCCAGTCGATCGATGACGTTCCACCCGCCGCGCTCAGTCCGTAGATCAACAGCCCGACGCAGACGGCGATTGCTGTCAGCCACAGTATTATGCTCAATGCCCATCGGCGGCCGGAAGCGGCCTTGCTCCATACTACCCGCGTGTCTCGAAATGCTCTCGGTTCATGTAAGGGCTGGGTCGGCGGATTCCTGGAGCTAGCCTCGCGGCCGGTCAAAAGACAGCCTCTCCGCGAGTGGCGATCCGAACGATGTAAGAAAGACGCAATGGCATCTCCAATAGTCAGGATGGGGGCATTCCTAATCCCGAGCCACATGTAGGCTAGAATACTGCTCTTGACCAAATTGAACGCTATCACGATAATCATCAGCGGGAATGAATACTGCAGCTTGCAATACCCGTCATTCGCCTCCGCCATGCAATATTGGACATCGACGATAGTATCAGAAGCCACATTATTAGCATTTGGGATAGCAACTGGCCAGTCATTGTTGAGTGATCTTGGGAGAATCTCAAGCGAGTCCGAACGTTTACAGAGGCTATGAGTTTCTTGCAATGGGTTGGCACATATCCACGCATATGGGCTTGTACCTGGTCTTGTGTTGAAAATCGGAAGGTAGACACTATTTTCGTAGACAAATTCATATGTATCGTTGCTGCCAGGATCATCGGTGACGAGCAGTAATCTTTTGTACGCACTTTGGAACGTCACTCCAAATGCAGCAATGCATTCATCGTTGCTGAGGCGGTGCAAGCTCCCATTTCTGGCTGATGAGTAGAGTTCATGGAAAGAGGCGTTTTTCCCCGTATCCAAGTCGTAGAAATAGGTCAAATTCAGGCTGGAAAACTCTTTTTGCCCCAGAGAATCTGGGCCGGCGAAGATATCGTAGGCGGTAGCTGACGTCGTGGAGTAGATGGCCGAGTTGTACCTGTACTTTCCAGCTCAGCAACAATGCGAGGTCGGGCACCCAGGAGGAAGCGTACATAAGATGGAACGGTAGAGATGACAACGCCAAGCATAGCCATAGGCATAAGCGTCGCCTGGATATCTTCGAAAGGTTGTGGATACTCGGAACCCCAACATCAAACCAGCGGCCATTTTCGTGTGCTCGGTCTATGTAACGCCGTGTTGGTGCGGCTAAACATTGCTACACGAAATTTTGAGCACCCTCATGCACATTCCGGGAAGTTTGAATGGGGCATCTTTCCACATACCATTCCAAAGTTGCTTGCACTCAGCAAAGTGGTACTCAGGATGTTTATCACCAGGTGGAACCCTGTACTCAAGCGATGCACTTCGGCGCAGTTACCCTCGAAAAGAAGCGTGCCGATCTGGTGCTTTATCTGCGCTCGATAGGCATCTTGCTCTGCGATCGGATAAAGATCGACGGCATCATGTTTTGAATGGGTGACACAGTAGAGTAGAAAGCCCAAGTTGAAGAACAGGACGATCAAGCTTGCTGTGAAGGCTCCAAAAATGGTGAATTTCCAGCCTTGGAACCAATTCCTACCACGGTGGGTTATCGGCTTGCTGCGCGCCGTCTTTGTCCCTCTGTTATCAATCGGTGACTGGACGACCCCCTCATCTAGGTTCTCTTCCGAAGCGAGCAAGGGATGGGACACTGCAGAAAAACCTGCGATCAGGTTTATTTTCATGCCACGTTGCCTCAGGTTCTCCTTTTCGGGCATCTCTGTCACAGAACTCCTCCTTAGAAGGATGGATGGCAGGTTCGTTCGGGAACGCATGTAAGGCCAAGGACGGCAAGATGGGAAGTTGAACCTTAGGGGGGCGCTTCAGATTATAAATTTAGAGGCGAATTTAGACCAAAGGAATAAGCCGGGATGATGTGGCTCCAGGGCTGTGGGGTTTCATCCTATTGGTTGAGAGGGTTTGGTGAAAGGGTGACGGGTGATGATTGCATTTGGGGGCCGTCGTATATCTTAGGCGCCGCTCTGCCGCTCTCCACCCAACAACAGGCCCAGTAACATTGCTCTAGCTTGAAGGGGGGTTGTACTCCGTAAGCAGTGTTTTTCTAGGCGGATTCGGGCCAGCATAAAAGAGCGCCTTATCCTGTGTGGGGTTCGTCCTTGACCCTCGATCTTGGTCCGAGGGCGATCAGCATGTCATCTACCCGGAATAGCGTTTACGATGCATACGCCGTGTGGCCGGCTACAAATCTCGGTCCTCTCACGACGACCTTCACACCAACACCCCAATGTTTTCAGCCCATTCACAGTGGCTCAAGGATCTCAGATTCCTACCCATATGCATACGTGTATGGCAAGCACTGCACCACCGCAATGTACGGGGACGCTCTCGCTCCGTTGATTCAAGATGACCCAAGTTGCCTTCCATCTGCCATACCGCCGGGGACTCCATCTCCATTTTATTCGCCGGGCAATGTTTGTCCACAAGGGTTCACGACAGCCTGCCACATGACGCGAGGGATGGAGCTTAGCTCGGACCTCGCAGACCCGACGATGTGGGAAATGTGGAAGGTCTTGCAGTTTGGGGAGACGGCATACAAGTGCTGCCCCAGGTTAGTAGTAGGCTTCAACCGCCATGTCACCCATCACTGCACGCCACGCCTTGCTGACATACACAATTCAGTGGATATGTTTGCGCGATGGGACCTACTGGGTGTAGCAAATCACCGGGCGGGCCGACAACAACATCCGGGCCGTACATCACTTACCCTGACCATGACTCTTGCGAGTCCACGACATCGATTGGCATTTTATCAATTACCGACTACCAGCCCGGTTTACTTCTCGTGACGAGCTCCGCCCAGCCAGAACAGACGAACGGACCGTACCCGGTCGATCAGGTGCCACTTGGGGCACAGATATTCATCGCCATTTGTGCGCCAATAGCGGTGATTGCACTGGCGCTGGCAGGCTGTGTACTGGTCAGAACGCGCATGCACTCTCTGAGAAAACAATCGCCGATTTATTCTTCAGTGCCGCCAGAAAACGTCCTCTGAAGGCCGTGGAGGCTGCCACAGATAGAAATGGCAGCCCACCGATGTGGCCGCATCAGGCATTTCAATGAACGATTGCAATGCGGGGCGAAACTCCCCAGGATAAGCAGATTGCCACCAGCGTTACCTTCAAGCTGTAGTAGTACCTATCAAGTCGTATCAATCGCAGGGATCCAAGCATCCTTCAAGATATTGTAGAATCTCCACGAGCATATATTGAATGATTGTTGTCGAAGTTCCTAGAGATTGTACGGCGAGCATTCGCAAACCCACTTGCATGTCTTGCCCTTGTCTTTCCTGGATGAGAGGAACAAAAAGGGACAAGAGTGGTCACTCTATTTACTGTTGTAATGAGTTAGTGCCATAGTTACTAGGAGCCCAGGGACTAGCCTGGTTGCCCAGACAAGGCGCTCAAGCTTCCAGCAATGACCAACATGAATTGGACTAATAGTGCTCAGCGGGAGGAGCTGTTGCCCAATCTCTGGGTCCGAGCACGACAGGTGCTAGACCAGATTGGTCGTGCAACCTCGCGCAACTAGCTGCATATGGCCTAGCTTGCCCGCTACTGCAACCTCGTCAAAGCGAAGAAAAGCGGGGAACTTGCATTTTCGTACTGGCGACTACTGCTCACCATACACCACAATGATGCTGGATTGATTGCTGATCACAGCGCGTGCCAAGATAGGATGTGATGGCACTACCTAGATCTGCGCCGAGTCTTTATGCAAGGGGGTGTGGCTGCCTAGAACATAGGCACCAATCTAGGCGCCCAGCTCTATGAACAGCCTGTTGCCCAGACCGACCCGGATGTACTTATACATGACCAGCCAGCCATGTTGTGACAGAACAAACGTCAACACTATGGAACATCTACCCTGTGTGGTGCTCAGATCAATTGGAGAGTGTTCTCGACATGAAGAGCATTTCTCAAAATACTTACACGCCCTGAGCTTATGTTCCCGGAAATTATATGCGATTTTCCGACCATTTACTTTATTCCCACCTCCAAGTTGGGTGTAATGGCTTTTCTATCCGTGAGGTTCACTTGGTGATCCAGCTCTGGGAAGATCCCCTCATCGCGACCCAGGTGCGTCATCTCAAACTTTGCTGGTCGGGATCAGAATGTTATCAATGTGGCTTGGACGTCATGAATCCATACGAGCCAGAGTACCAGTATGAATCAATCCTCTGGCGACGAACTCGACCCACTGGAGGATAAAGTGGTTCATTCCATTGATCGTGCCCTCGCGACGATTTTTGAGAGCCGAGAAGAACGACATCTTCAACGGCACTTTAGGAAGCACTTGTACGGAATGTGCGAGGAGGCATGGATTGCGCTTCTGCTCATTCCCCTGGCAAATCTACGCATCATAGAGTTCACGCATAAGTGTTCTTCCCATCTCGTCTCAGCGATTTTTCTTAAGGCTGCGCAGCACCAGCCTCCTTTTCACAACCCAGCAGGGCTTCCATTCCCCCATCTCCACGAAGTTCGCGCGAACTGCGCCTGGGGCGATTCTTATATCTACGAGTCTTTTTTAACGCCCTTTTTCTACTTCCCCGTCGTTCGCCGGATAAGTGGTAGCTTCATCAGGGAGGATGGAGGGATTATGAACTTGCCGCTTCCAATTCACTGGACAGAATGCAGCGTGAAAGAAATTGCTGTTCAGATGGTCTACTCTTCTGACACGATCCTACGCTGGCTTGAGGCGAGCCCCAGTCTCGAGCACGTTGCGTTCCAGCTCTCCGTTCACCGTGACGATATGTGGACTGATTTCGATGCATCGGGATTCCGGAAAGCTCTTCTTCCCTCTCGACAGACGCTGAAGACCCTGCGTCTGGAAGTGTAGATGAGTATTTTGATCAGGCAGTTACTTACTACCAAGACGAGAACGAGGAGCCGTTTGGCGCATTCACGAAGTTTACTATTCTCCAGGACCTGGTCATTCGGCATGCACGCCTCACGGGGCGACCTTCCGGCACCGTGGTCCAGGATATACCGCGATTTTGAGTGGAGATGCTTCCTGTCTGCCTGAAACGCCTCACTGTGAAGTATCTTTTGGGTGGGGATCTTCCGGATTTGCTGGTCATGCTTTTAGGGTTGATGCAGCACAGGGATCTCTTTTGTCAGCTCGAACAAATCACATTGTGGGCGGGTTGGCTGGATGATGATCTAAGAAGTCCCCTGAGAGTGGCATCCGAAGCCGTGGGAATCAGCCTGAGTGTGTTGGACGATGATGACTACTCCTATGACTGAAGTCCTCGCAAGGAGAAGGACTCTGCGTCGTTTGATGTCATAGGTGCCAATCTTAATTCTAATGTTGTTTGCCTCTCCTTGTGTCTATACTTCAATCCAGGCTTAAGCATCTGTGCACGGGAACGCTTTCAAACTCTCACATCCATGTCTTAAGTTTATTTTTGATACTGATAGCCGGGTTTCCCGTTGACATGACACTCCATGCTGAGTTGCAAGGTGTGAGAAAACGACCCCTCACGTCGCTAAACCCTCCCATCTCAGAATGCGCGGCAGAGCTCTCTCTCGTCCGACTCCTCCCCGGTCTCGCTACCGACACCATGACAATACCAGAGAATTCCAGCTGGAACATACCTGCTCTTGATCGCTTGGAGCCGGGGGTAATGGTTACTCAAGAGTGACGACCGCCACTCGGGCTCCAATGGGTTCGCTTTTCGTCCACCCAAACCGGTCAGCAACTCCAACAACAATGCAAACGTTAATCGTTCACTGAACATACCTCATCGAAATAAGCGCCTGAGTCAGGGGCCAGCTGGCGAAGGACATAGCCCCTGTCATAGGTCATGTTATGGATAGCCTGCTCGGCGAGATCTGAGGGAAGGGACTCGTTCCAGCTCTGCCAGTCATGGTGCCCAAAATTGAGGGTGGGTGTGCCCTGGTATATATCTTAGTACGAGACGCCGTCCAAGTGAGGGGAAGGAGGTAACAAGGGGGGGAGGATTGTGGTCGCACGGGGAGCACAGCACGGTTAGCTTACTTTCGAAGAGTTATTATTAGATATGAGATTTTTTAAAGTCCTAGCAAAAAGCCCAACGTTTTTGATGACAGCCCGCCGTGGGATCAGCCTCGAGGCTTTAGCGCCTTGAGTCGTCCTCACAGATTCGATCGCTGGCATGGACTGAACAATCTCATGCTATGGCGCAGTCATCAAAGGCTTTACCGTCGATTCCATGAGATCATCATGAGCGCGCAGGAAATCCTGAATTAGACTAAGCAGTCTCTCAGCCGTTTTATTCTCAGCGTTGTAGAGAAGGAGGGCGCCGTTTATTGCGGGCGAGGAGCCTCCTATGGTGTAGTAACCATGTATCCCAGAGCAGAGTCCTAGAGTTGCGCCAGATACCGGTAGCTCTTTGCGACCAGTCCATACCATGTATCCGTTGTAGTTTCGTTCTTGGGGGCGACAGAAAGATTGATAAGCCTTCATGGTGACTATCAGAGAATCACCCCAAAGGTCCCGCCACCTCCACGAATCGCCCAAAAGAGGTCTTGATTCTGGCACGCATTGACAGTGACATGGTCTCCCTGTGGGGTGATCATCTCGGCTTCACTAATGTTGTCCGCACCCATACCGTACTGTCCGGTCGCCAGGCCATGCCCGCCGCCAGTAGCCCATCCGAAGATGCCAACAGTCTATGTGATGTTAGCAGCAATATCCCGTCGGTGCGTCGATTTCTCCCGGGTCTTACCGGGCTCGTGCCGCCGACAGAAATGGCATTATGCTTTGCTAGGGCAGCGTACATTTCTTCATCCTGGACACCGGCACCTAGTGTGGCGGCAATCTTGGGGCTGCCGTGAACGCTGGCATTGGTCTTGCATCCATGCCCGGTGTTCTTGATACTGAGGCGGACATTGTGTTTCTTCGCAAAGGACAGAGCACTCTGAACATGACTGGGTTCTGTCGCATTCACAACACAAGCTGGATAATTGCCAATCGTGCAGCCCTTTTGCCCGGCGTGAGGATCTCCGGTCACGCTTGTTCCGAATGTTACCGAAACAGGCAAGTTGCCGACGGACCGTCCCGATGCCCTACCAACATATATGTTGGTACAGTACAGGGCATCCGTTATATGTAGCAGAATAGTGTAGTGTATTTGCGCTTAGAAGACAGTGGTTCATGGGACGTTTCTTCCGAGTCTTATGAATCTTTACTAGGAGTAAATCAGTTACGGGAACAGTCGAATGACCACGCTAGTCGTCTTTGTGGGATTTGTTTGGGTGGTTGCGCTAAGCCATTGGCGATTGAAGAGAGACGACGAGGAAGGGATGGGGGGATTTATCCCAGTCGAGGGGGACGGAAGGCCCGTGATGTTGATGGGGGACTGGAAACGAGGATTCTGGGTCTTGTATGTGGTGTGTGGGCTCCTCATGGTAAGAAACCTGGTGAGGATGGTACAATTCGGGGTCGGGAAGGATAATCCGCTGAAGACCAAGGGGGCATATATCTATATCTTTGATGCGGCGTTCTGAAATCAAAGCCGAAGTTGTTGTTTCAACAAATAGAAAACAGTCGTAACTTGGGATTCGGTAAGTTTGTTCTGATCCAATCTAACGTACTACGTGGCACAGTACATTACCGTACAGCCTGTACTATGTGGGTCTGCGTCTCTCGCATTTCGCATTATTGCTCAGCCACTTTTCTATAGTTATACCCTGTCTAGTCCCCACCCCGCCTGTACGCATTTAAGTACTAAATTGTGCCTCTTCCTCGTCGCCCAAAATCTCACAACTTAATATATCTCACCCTTGAACCCAGCATCTGGAGACCTAACCACCCCATTGCTAAACGATGAGCGACCATACCCGAGCCAGCCGCTACTCCAACGGCTCTCTGCGGACCTGTCAAAATTGCGCCCGAGCCAAGATCCGATGCATACGCTCCGTCCCCACCGAGAGCTGCGACCGGTTGGTGCCGTGGCAATGACCTCCAAGAGCTGCCCATCGAGAGGCTAATCCGCACCAGCTGCGAACGCTTGGGGAAAACATGCCACTTTCACCCAGGGCGACGAGCAAACGCAGTTCCCCGTCTAAGCGATAGCAAGGACCGCCGGATCGACGCGCTCGAAGCCAAGCTGGACCGCCTCCTGGCGCAAGCCAGTATTGAAGATAAAAGCCCAGCAGCTAGCACCCCTGGTCCAATCGAGGATGTGATCGACAAGGGACTCTTGACCATTGAGGCCGCAAGCCTGCTGCTGCAGGATTATCGGAGGACGCTGATGCCGTACTGTCCGTTTGTCGTTGTCCCTCCGCACGCGACAGCAGCTACACTGCGGAGGAACAAGCCCTTTCTCTTCCTGGCCATTCTTACCGCGGCATTGTACGACAATATGCCCCTGCAACGGACACTGGAACTTGAGGTCAAGCACGCGATCAGCAATTGCATGATCTTCGATGGCCCGGTTTCGTTCGAGACGCTTCAGGGCTTGTTGGTTCATTTAGCGTGGTGAGGACACCCCGAGGGGTGTGAGTTTCAATCATTTCTGACCGGGCTGAAGGTGCCAGTATCACTCGCGGCCCCGCCGATTCTCCCAGTACTTGCATCTTGCCATCAGCATCATCACCGACCTTCAGCTTGACCGCGCCCCCGAGGATCGATTCTGGAGAACCAGAGTGGATTTCAACGGGGAGCTCGACCGGGAGATCTCGTGGGGAAGAGAAGAGAGAAGAGCGGTGATCGGGTTCTTCTGGTTTTCGTCCAGGTCTGTGGAAGCAGCAGCAGCACACCGTTTTATGGCTATGGGAGCCAGCTAATGTCCTCATAGCATCTCACAAATCCTCCAAAAACGCTCTTCGTTCTCCTTCATTCCGTATCTCGAGACGTCATGCGAGTTCCTGGCATCAACCGCTGAATACAACTCGGATCGGCACCTGCTGCACCTCATCCAGCTGCAGCGCCTGTCCGAAAGGATCATCGCGGCCTCATCGCAGCATACCTCGGAGCCCCATGACGCAGATGCACTCGAGCAGTGCTACCGTGACCGTCGGTCTGAGCTGGATCTATACCTTGCCCAGCTCCCCTTCCCGCTCACCGACAGCCGTAGGTGACCCACGCGGGGCGACCGGAACTTCGAGATTACCGAACTGACTTGGGTCAGATATTCTTTTGATGCAGTACCACACGGCAGAGCTCTACCTTTGCCAGGTGACACTGTTCGACTACAAGCCTCGCTCCCAGCATCGCCAGCACGATTCGCCCTTCCAGATCGAAGCCCTCCGCCTGGGGCTGACCGCGGCGCGCACGCTGCTGGAGTTCTATGTGTCTCTTCCCCTCCGTCAGGAGGTCGCCTTCAATAACGCAGGCTGGGTTCAGCTCGGGTTCGCCGTGACCCTGGCCTGCAAGCTGGTCGTTGCCGCGGCGGACCCCCTGATCCATCCTCACACGGTGGATTTGACCCGGGCGCTCAACCTCTCCAACATGCTGAGCAGGTGTACCATACGGATCCAGGCGCTGATCACCTCTCAGATGGACGCCCGCGGCGACCGTGATGTGTTCTACCACCACGAGAAGCGGCTCAAGCGGGCCCAGTGGTGGTTTGAAAGTCGGAGCTTGTCACGATCACAGCCTCTCGAATGCCTGCCGGCGGCCGTCGACCCCTCGTCGCGTGCCAGCATCTCGCATACCTCCCCGGAAGAAGAAGTGAATGGCTACGGTGCAGTTTCGCGTGAGGGCTTTGATTTTCAGTGGCCGGGGTTGTTCCCCAGCCCTGCCTTTGACGACATGTTTGCCGATTGGATCGCGCAGGGATCCACGGGATTTTGAATAACAAGTGTATTCGGTGAGTTAGTGGTCATCCGCGCCCGTCAATATTGAATTGTATGAAATATAAAGCTTTTATGAAACACTGGGTAAATAGACCCATCTGGTTAGACAGTGGTTAGATATATAAAGCATCTTCCGTTTATCTTTCTGAACCATGTTGTATCTAATATATTAAGGTAGTGCCCAATGGTGAGGCTGCTTTTTACCTATAGCTTTTTCTATACTTCAAATCCTCATAACTCCATTCACCCTGTGTATCTATATCAATATAATCTAAGTTTTCTTAAATAGTAGCGCGAGAAAGAGCTGATTATGATCTAAATATTTGAACTGCCAACCGAAGGCTCTGGGAACTTTCATACTTCGATCAACTAGTAGTAATATCTTTGAGAGCCAAAAAGCTTCACAGGGGGTTATAGTCGTGAATATAGTTGTATGTACATTTCCCGCCTATAGAGGTTAGAGACTTTTAGTTATCCCAAACGAGATAATAGCTAATGATCAAGGGCTTGTTCCACAAGCCAAGGTAGGGAGTCTAATCTGTTCAAACTTTCTCTTTTGAAATGTTTAATTTACAGCTGTTTACACCAGTACATGTGTCACCGTCCTTGGCCTGGAATGAAGACCAAAGATGACTAGGGCCATGACCGCCAGGGACAAGCCCGCTCCACCCCAACCGACCCAATTTCCGAAGACATGTTGTGCCACGGCGACTTCATCCCCACGCGGCGTCTGCCCTACGCAACGCACAAAGAACGCTTTCCCTGATTCTGGGCCCGACAGGAGGCCGTCGCATTGCTCCATTCCTCTGGAATGTCCGATGTGAGGTATCGCCACATTCGATGGATGATCCGCGGAATGGTCTGTGCTGTAGTGGAGCTGTTTCGGGCGCTCTCTGTTTCGTCGCTGATAGAGGGGGGAGCCCATTGAATTGGCTCGACGAGGGCTGCTGCTTGCAGCCTGACTGCTGGGGTGGGCTCTGGAGCAAGATGCTCGGGAGCGAGAAGACTCTGATGTAGCGCTGTGCTGAATTGAATGAAATGAGCCAGCCATGACAGGCAAGAGAGGAGGAGGTAGAACGCGACACAGGTCAGGAAGGGACCTTGACGTGCTCGAACCACGATGGGCTCGAGGCTGGAAGACCAGAAAAGAGGTGGAAGCAAAGACCAGCACTTCATGGCCTGCCGCTTCAATATCTCACTCCGAAGCATCACGCCGGTGCTCCAGGTCAAGACAGGCAAAAGAGGAGGATCGAATTCCGACCTCTGAGCTCGGCAAAAGAGGGTGCTATACATGATCAGAGGGCTAAGGGAATGGGTGGCTCAGATGGACTGTGTTTGTCCTTGTCCTTGTCCTTGTCCGTGTCCTTGTCCGTGTCCGTGTCCGTATCTCCACTAAGCGAGCGAATCTATTGCAGCTAAATCTCCTGAAATCCTTGGCAAGGGTGGCCAAGAGATACCCCGATACCACTTGAGATTGATGGTAGATCTCCGTAACGGTATTGTCACAGACTCAGCCACCAAACTGCAGAAGGCACATACGGACATGGACACGGACAGGACTCCCACCCACCTTGAAGTGCTGGTGCCTGCTGACTTTTGTACTATCAACTTTATAATTAAGTATCGTTCACTTGGAGCCCTAATCTTTCCTCCATGCAGTGTTGTCATTAATCATCCACCATGAGTAACTCAACCGATCTTTCCGACTATTGCACTTTGAAAATCTGCCCCATCACAGAGGCCTACGTTTACTATGTCCCATCATTGGCCGGTAATGCTTTCTACTTGGCTTTATTCGCCGTGCTACTGGGCGCTCAACTGATCCTGGCCGTGCGCTACCGGACGTGGGGCTACTTAGCCGGGCTGTTTGGCGGCCTCGTCCTAGAGATTATCGGGTACATCGGACGTATTCAATTGCATTCCAACCCGTTCCGCTTCAACCCATACCTTGAGTACGTTTGTCTTCTCTCGCCCAACTGTTCCTTGTTCACAGCTTCCTGTCCTAGCTCTGACCAGACTACCAGATACCTGATCTGCCTAACCATCGGCCCAGCCTTCCTCAGCGCGTCCATCTACATCTGCCTGGGCCGTATCGTGAAAGTCTACGGAGAGAGCATCTCTCGCCTCCGCCCGAAGACGTACACGATTGTCTTTGTGGCTTGCGACTTGATATCGCTTATCTTACAGGCAGCAGGCGGAGCCATTACCTCAGTCGCAGATGCCGATCAGTACGATCTCGCCCAGGATGGCATCAACATCATGATAGCCGGGCTTGCTAGCCAGGTGGCTTCTCTCGCCCTCTTCATGGCCCTCTGTCTCGACTATGCATGGCGGGTGTACAAAAGCCCGGATAACCTGAATTCCGAGACGTGTATGCGTGGTCTTCGCCATAGCGTTAGATGGAAGGCCTTCCTGGCGGGTAAGCACAACTTTTGGCAATCTGATCCTGCGCAAAATGCTTACCGTGTCTTCCTAGGGCTGGTTCTTGCCACCGTGACTATCTTTGTGCGATCGGTGTTCCGAGTTGCAGAGCTGAAAGGGGGATTTCATAGTTCGTTGGCTAATAACGAAGTGCTCTTCATGACTCTGGAGGGGGCAATGATTGCCATCGCAGTCATCTCTCTGACCGTGCTCCATCCAGGCTTCTGCTTCCATGGCCTCTGGAATCAGACCAAATGGTCTTTTCGTCAGTCCAGGGATAGTGAGATGCGATTGATTGAGGTTAATGCTGGGCACGAGGCGAAGGCTCAGCGGGCTGACTCGGGTATGAGTTGAGAATCTGACTTGTGACTTATTCCTGTCCCTGTTTTCTACCCTCCGCGAACAAATTCTTTGTCAGCCCGTGTATAGCATTCCAAACCCCGTACTCACGTTTAAAAAACTAAGCTGGCACGTCCGTTGTCATTTTTCTTTCTGCTTTTGTATCTTGCCATACATGTCTAGACGGTTTTCGGAACAGGTTAGCCTATTTTTAGAATGCCTTCCACCCCTTGAGGCACTACCAACAGCACCTCTGTGTGATATCCGGGATTACAAGACAGGCACGATCCAGACCGGGGGATTCTCCCATACAACCCATTCATCTTACGTCTTGTCCAAGTCTGCGAATATATGCTCTCCTCACCACCGAGTCAAAAGCCAAGTCGCCCTCCGGCCCCAACTCCACCACGCGGCGGCCACCACCGCCAGGACCGGGGTCGACAACTTGGCGACCATGAACCCGACTGTGTGTCACCAGCACCGGCGTCAACCTGCCAAAAGTTGCTCGGTGTTATTGACATGAGGGAAGCGCACATCGGGTACGGGGACCCCCGGAAACTCGCATAGCGGCCCCCACCCATCGCGCGTGTTGAATCCAGGCGTAATCATCCAGGTATGCCTGGCGCTCCCCTTGTGGAGCAATTAGGGGGTCGTAGCCCGTGCTGGAATTTGTGGTATTTCCACCATGGCCCGATCACATATTATGTTGTTTGGGGGTGGGGGGGAAGCCCCCCCCGTGATTGTCAATACAGGAATCTTTTCCAAGTCTCGATTAGGGTTACCCCCACCAAAGTCTAGTGGGGGTTGTATGTGTGGAACGTACCGGATCCCAAGGGGTCCACCAGTCAAACGATTTCCAGGAAACTGCAGAATCCACCGACTGCCGCATGGACCGCAGCCACCGATCCACCTCGCGGGTGCTGACCACCACCTTGGCTTCGGGGTAGGCCCTGATCAGGTCAGCCGCGACCAGGGTCCCCGGAATGTTGCACGAGACATTGAACCCGTCGAAGAGTTTGTCGTAGTCGGCGCGCGTGTAGTTCTTGCCGGTGTGCAGGTATCGCGCCTCCAGGGCTTCCGTCCACAACGGGTACAGGTGCGGTATCTCGTCCATCATACGGCCGTGGAAGGGCCAGTAATGTAGAATCTCAAACGCCATGCAGATGACTATCATGGTTGTGTGATTAGCTTTCACTGGCGACGGTTGGTTGGGGGTCACTGAAATTAAGAGCTATTGGCTTACAGATCGTTCCGGTGCGTGGCATTCAGATGCTTGGGCGCTATCTTATGGATGAATTGCTGCTGGTGTGAGACATTTCCGTGTGAAGTTATGTAGAATTGATATACTCGCCCTACGCGTTTAAATTGTGGCGGAGTTGAGTTAGGTCTTGCTCTCCGTAGAACAAAATGAGGGGGTCCAGCGGAGAAATTGGCCAAAAAACAGTCGGGTAGAAAATCAAATATTAAACGCAAAGATGTAAAAAATAGCAAAAGAGCGAAGGAAGGAGCCTTGATGCTGCAGTAATGGAATGGGTCGTTCTGAGTGAATCTAACAAGGTCAGTGATTTGCGCATGCCCTCCATCTTGTACACTCTGACAGCCCCGTTGAGGTAGCTGTATCTCTGTGTGGCCTTGCAGATTTTCGCTCATCTATGTCATGTAGCTTTTCTAGCGCGGGCTATAAGACTACCAGCTCTTGCAATTACGAAAGTTTACTACTTGCTTAGCTTGAAGAGTTAAGATCTAGGCATAGGTAGTAGAAGAGAAACAATAGCTTGCATTAGATTAGAAGATAAGCTAATCTGGGACAGGGAATTCCAACTGAGCCAGCGAAAGTACTCTGCATATTTGTGGCTGTCATAGCCTGCGTAGGGGATGAAGGGGGCTGTCCAGACACCCAGAGGACCCAGTCCCAAAGCCTGCATCGCAGTGCCGGGCGGACAGAAGGCGTAGACCACGTAATAAGACAGGACACCCTTGTCATTATGCGGCTGCTGCTTAGGCCTGCACCTCGGACTGGTGGTATCGATGGCATCGACACACAAATTGAAGGATGGGTCGGACGAAAGTGATATACAGTCAAGCCACACTGCTACCCAGTTGTGCACTGCTGTACTTGGGGAGGCTTGCGGGTGGCGGCGCATCCCGCCTCCGGTCGGGTCCCCAAAGTTCCAGACTTCCAGCACCTCCAGGCTTACTTACACTTTACCCACTTCCCGCCGTTACCCCACAACACCCAACTCCATCCAATAATCAACAGGTGAGATCCATGCTATTTCCCGCAAAGATGGAGGATCATACCTAATCCATGATCTCTTTATCGATTGACTAGGACTCCAGTCCTTCCCTTGCCGAAAATCACAATGGCAGAAACCGGAGAACGCGTCAACGATCGCAAGGAGGAGAAGGAGGAAAACCCACCCCGCCCTCGCTGCTGGGACTGGATGGTGGTGTCCGGCACGAACCACTACGCCAAGAATCGCGCGTCCTTCAAGTCGTACCGCCCGGTGAATCGCATGGTTCCAAACGGACCGTTCCAGGGGGCGGAGGTGTATATCGCAGGAGTCGGCACGGTGGAGCTGAACGTGCGTGCCAGCCCGGAGGAAGGTTCCCCCGCCCGCACTCTGGTCTTGGACAATGTCTTGCACATTCCGGTCGCCAAATGCAATGGCTTCTGTTGGGGGCAGTATCACACGATCCATAACGGAACAGTCAGCTTTGGTGCGACTTTCAAGGGCACTGACGGACAAGGCGCTGCTCTTTGGTTTGGGCAGCCGTTCTGTGGACTCCAGAAGCTGGCTCTCGCGGGGGATCCGCAGGGAAAATCCTATCTCAATCCCGACGAGGCCCACGCGCTCAGCCTCTATATTGACAAGCAGGATCTCCGGAACATTTTGCCGTCAGGTTAGCTTCTTTGCCCCCTTAAAACCCCGTCTTCTTCCTGCGTACGCTACTATTTTTGGTCATGGACAGTGTGATGGAATCAGGCTGATCTGGAGCTTTGCCCAGACGTCTAGGGAATCGAAACATTGCTGCTTCTACTGTGCGTATCAACAACACCCACGGGCTACCGATCGGAGGCGTGATGAATAAGAACCGATCTTCCAATGAGATGAAGTACCAGAAATCAGAGGGTCACTGCTCGCCTCCGTGCTCATCTCTACAGCGACCTCTACCTCATATTAATTCTAGCTACTAGTCTATCTTCACTGAAGGGTAGACAAATGAATACATGACTAGGTCATACGAGAAAATTTCAGGAACAGTAGTACAGAGAAGCATTTTTAAACCCTGCTTCGATGACTGTGTCGCTCACATCGGGAAGTAATTTTATCTTCACAGAATGAAACTACTCGCTGGTAAAGAAGACTCGGCATCTTCCAACCTGCCTCCTAGATCCCTGCCAAGTTTAAGACATCCTGTCTTCCACTTCGCGCCCTTGTCCGCTTGGCTGGCAGTGAATACTACTTGCGACAGAGCTTTTGCCACTGAATCTATAGATCCTCTATGTAGATCTAAATGAGCATGCTTAGCCAAGTTGGACCACTAGCCGGTTCAAGATACTGCACTCGGTGGTCGGGATTTTGAATGGTAAGAATTTGGGTTCTAGACTCGGGCGCGCCCGGAAGGGGGAGGGGGGGGGGGGG